ATTGTGTGTGTGTTTGGGGGGGCGCGACATCTCACAAACAATGTAAGGAACATTTTTGCAGCTGTTTGTAGTTATTGGACGTTTCAGTAAACAATACAAGGGACACCCCTCCCCCCCTTTTAAGTCCATTGAGAAGAGAGCAATTAATTGAAGCTGATGGCTTTTCTGTCAACGTTTCTGTTGGGAGCCTCCAGTTATTCTTCATCGGCACTCTTAAACATGAGGATGGAGTTGTAGATCTTCAGGGCAGGGCCCAGCTTGATGGACAGGATCTTGACGATGTCCGATTGGGTGAGCAGCAGAAAGGCCTCGCCATCTATTTGCTGGAGGCAACAAAATAAATAGATTTCACTACTAAAACATCAAATCTAAATCGCTCGATATATTAAAAGCTGTCGAGAAAGTTACCTCCGTTTTAAATGTAGCAGCATGTTCTTTACACCCTGGAAGTCCTTTTACAAAACTGGCCACCTGGTGGAAAAACAATTAAAACGCGAGCCCCTTTTCACACTGCCTGGAAATGTCAGCTAAGTCATGACCACTTCCACATCTCGACTAAATTCTCACTTCAACCACGGAAAATATTGAACGACGGCCCCAGTATTTGGGATTTTATGGATGTTAGGCTTTTAGATTCCATGAGAACTCTTGAAAAAAAGCGTACTTAATGTCCGAAAACTACAACTGGTTATCACCCAAATTTATGTGCACGTCTGTACACTTGCCCACTTCAACCCCTGAAAATATTAAAACAATTCCCTCAATATTTTGCATTTTATGGACGTTAAGTGTTTCCCTCCTTATAGAGAAAGCAGAATGTCCATAAAACACCAGAGCGATTGCTCTGATATCCACAGAAGTAAATAGGGATGCTCACATCTATTTCGGTGATGATTGATTCCAGTTCGCTGACAATTAAGTGACTCTACGCTTTTTCACACCGCGTTTTCGACTGTCCCAAGGGTTGATAAATTGCTGCCCTGAGAAGTACTATCAGAACTGTAACAGCAGTTTAGACACTGCGTCAAAGCTGACAAAATAGGAGGAGGATGAAAACGCCCTAGAAACTATCGCTCCACAGATTTTCGCATTGGGACAGATAGTTAACGTTACATAACAGATGAACGATGAATCGGAATATACCGAAGGAAGACTGTAGAGTCATGATCATATCAATCGCAAGAGTGCATGCTGAATGCCTGACCTCCTCAGTGCTCCATCCCGCCACCCTCTTGGCGGTGAGCCCCAAAACCTCAGGCAGCAACTGACAGTGTTTGTCCCAGCACAGCGCCACCCGGTGGGGGGGAGCGGCAGAGACGCCAGGGGAGAACACCGACTCGTGAAGGGCTTGCTGGAGGGAAATGGAGTCCGAGTTGGCTGTGCAAGGAGACGATATTAGACACTTTTGTGACACTGTGGTTTTCAGTGTTTGAATAAACGCACAGTGCAACCTTTTACAGCACCCGCAGTCCTACAATTTGAACAATAGTTTCAAAAGACACGGCAAAAACATTGCAACATGTCGCCGTGCAAGATGTCGGAATACTTGGCGGCTTTGGTTCAACAAGGGGAAAAAAAAAAGGGATCAACTTTTTCCTTTTTCATGACACTTCCAAGATGTTTCTGAATTTTTAGCAAGCGGATTGTTCTGCCAAGGAGGCCATGTTTTCAGTGAAGGGGTTAACTTCTTCAAAAGTTGACAGACTCCTTCTGAGCACAATTGTACCTTTGGACTTGAGTAATTGTATTGTGTTTACGTCTTAATATCGAGTCGTACTTTCCACACAAATTACCTTTGCATTATTCTTTCAACATCAAAAGGTTAAGACTCGGGTGCCTTATTGTTTTGACATCTGCATGTGAACAGTGGTTAGGTTCAAATTCCACTTGTGTGACAAAAAGTTTGCTTTTTTTTTTAATGTGCATGACAGTAATTAAGTAAATATATATATATAAAAAATGAGAGAGGTACATTTTTTTTATTTCACACATAACATTCATATTAAATTCCTTTTGTCACATTACTTAGACATTGTCCCTAGAGTTAATTCGGGGTTTTACGACAGCAACAATTTGGCCCTGGAATGGATTATTTCGATTTCCCTTACTTCCTATGGATCATTTTTTGCGAACAAGTTGTGCTCTACACAGTGAAAAAGTGCACACACCTTTACCATCGCCAGACTCTTCTTTCACGTAGTGCATTTTGAAATATTTGGGAAGAGGAGCAGTCCTGAAAAGAACAATGTTAGAGCTTTTTGTGTGATGTGACTTTTTTTTTTTTTTTAAATAAACCTTTTGAGTCTGGTTCCATTCTGGTTCTGCTCACTGGCACCTCTTAGTGCCTCTGGCTGGCTACTGCGACCTGACAGCTCAGCCTCCACCTCCGCTGGTTTCCTAGCAACAGAGACAACTGACTCTCAGGTAAATTCTGCAGCATTGTGATGCACGTCAAACGCAGAGAGGAGCTCTCTTGGGCCGGACCTGGAGTGGGAGTCATCGGCTGCCTCGAGCCGGTCCGGGGCGGAGGCGATTTGCGTGGCGGGAGCCGCGTTGGGCTCGGGGCGTCGCCCGCGGGGGAGGGCGCCGCCGAGCGTGAGGGGCCGCTCGCCGCTAAGACGGTCTGGGAGCAAGCTCTCTTTGTTCAGATTCATTTCCGAGTAGGGACAGCTCACCTGACTGCACAACGGGCATTTTATTCGGGCCCCAAAACATCGACCATGACATGTCCTGGCATGAATAAGGTGATTAAAAATGTTGAAAAATGGAACAGGACTGACGTGTAATGTGTCCCATAACGAGGTCCTCTGATGTGGCCGACTCCGTTGCATCCTGGGGTGGGACATCCCTGTCCTGGAGGACTCACATCATTAGCACCTAAGAGGACACATAAAGACATACACAATTGGAGAGACGGTTCCAGAAAAAAAGTTTTTTCTCTGTCAACGGCAAGTGGCAGTTTGGTCTGAGACACAACAGAGGTGCTGCAGAGGTTTCCGAGAGGCTAAAAGCAGCCATTAGCAAATGAGCGCCGAGTCATCTACTCAAATTAAAACCCTGCGGACGTCCTAAATTGTGTCAGGCTACCTCACGGGCAACTTGTCAAGGGGAGTAACAAAGGTCTCACTGTTCGGGTGCTGCAAAGTGTGTCCAGTTTTGTGACACCAGCCCACAGGGTGCAGGTCGGGGCAGTCCGTCTCCACCCAGAAATCGTACTCTGGATTCCAGCCGTCGAAATGAATCTAAAAGGTGGTTCATGGCGCTTTAGTGAGGAGTCAAAGTGCGGGCGAGAGTTGACGGACAGTTTGTACCTTAAGTCGGTGGTCTTCCGTGTCTGCCACAGTGGCGACACGGATGAGCATCGGGTTCCTCCTGTCCACGGCTTCGACCTTCATCCCCACCTGAAAACCATGTGGAGGTCTCTGCAAGAAACCATACTGTTACATAATGTTTGCGACATAATAAATCCCCACAACCCCCCGCCCGGAAAAATTTGCAAATGATTTTAAGGGATTTTTCTCCTTTCGCTGAGAGAAATATCAATAAAAACAGGTTTTGCTTTTTTGTTTTGTTTTGTTTTATACAAACCTACTGGTGAGTTCTTACTTGATTTCTTTAGTAAACAATCTTTGAAACATCAGAGCAGCTTCCCTTTTCCCACCCGTGCATTAACTTCAACTTCCACAAAAATACTTTTATTCCTCGCTACATTGTGGTGTACTCTTTATAGGTTCAGTGCATCACATTTTGTTTTTTGTTTTTTTTTTTAATTGTAAAGTGAACCTCATTACCACTGGGGTTCTTTCAATCGCTCTGGTCAACAAACACAGAAGCACATTCTTGGCACACCGGTAGCCTCAACTGATGTCGTCACTCGACCGCCAGAGTGATATAACGAGGAAGTAGCGGGCCAACAGTACATCCTCATACGCCCACTTTCATGTCAGTCAACAGACCAAGTCCGTCTTTCAAAGTCACACACACACACACACACACACACACACACACACACACACACACACACACACACACACACACACATCCACGGACGGCATTATTGTAAGGCAGAATGTGCGGCTGGCGACACCGAATGTTAATTGCTTTTGTTGTCTATTTCGCATCGACAATCAAAGTCACGTCAAAATAAATAAATAAGCGATAAGCGTCCCAAAAGGGTTTGGGGAAATTCACTAAATTAGCAAAATTGGCTATCTTAAACTCGAATGAATAGAAAATCTGCATTCCTCGACCAGCTCTATGCATATAAAACATTTATATGAGAGAGTGCGAGAGAGAGAAACATACCGGTTTGAAAGCCCGAGCAGGAGCAGCCTGTGTGCTCGTCTCTTCCATATATTTCTCCCAGGAGAAACTCTTCGGTTGCTTATATTCTGGTGAGAGCAAATTAAATTAAAAAAAAAAACTGTTAGCTCAACTGTTGCTGTTAACTATGAAGAGTACAGCCAGTGACCGCAGCATGCGTTCCCAACGTTTCTAACTTGCTACGGGTTAAAGGAAACTACTCGCCTTCACCACAAAATTAGGTACACCTAAACAATCCAATTACCCGAAGAGCTGTATCAAAAGTTGCCTGCCTTTTCGCTGCATCAAACTGAGAGCTTCCAAACATTTTTGCACCTCTCATTGTGATGTGAGTGCAGTTCTCGACCACTGAAAACTACAACCGCATCATAAATACATTGTTCATGTGGCAAAGGCGGAATTTTTGATACATTCTTGTATTGGATCGTGTTCCAAATGCAAGTGAGTGGAACAAAAGCCAAAAATAATTGAAGTGAGTGAGTGAGTGAGTGAGTGAGTGAGTGAGTGAGTGAGTGAGTGAGTGAGTGAGTGAGTGTTTATTTGGTAAATGGGTATATTTCAGAGGCAAAGACATGTTTACCTTCTGTTCAAAATCTTCCCTATTCCCTAAATTTTCTACACCAGGGTCCTTTAGAATAGTGCAAAGTATTGTTTCTTCAAACCTGTCCACGAATATGAATATTATTGAAAAATGGGGAGTGGGGGGAAACAATGAAAAATACTAATATTAATAAATGGTATTCACTAACAACATTTTAGCCTTTGTGACACTTTTTGGTGTCAATTCCAACCAAATGATACCCATTTAAGAAATAGCGATGAAAAAAAAAAAAAAGGACTCAAAATGTGGACGGATTAGTCATCATTTTGGCCTTAACGATAAAATCAACATGTTAAAAGCAAGGCAGCAGGCAATGATTCAAATCTACATATTAGTGAGGCCTTACAGAACAGCAAAGTCGGTGATACTGACCCACATGTGTCTTGGTCTGTGTCTTACCAGCTGGAGTGGTCAGAGTCAGCTCGGCCTCCTCGCAGTAGCCTACTGGGTGGATGTATGGACTGCTAGCGTCACACCTTCGTACAGGGCATAGCACAGGTTGACTCATGGAGTGCGACATTTAAAAAAAAAAAAAGGGGGGGGGTATTTTAAGAATTTTTATGAACCCTTCATTAGTGATATATATATTACAAATTCAAGATATTAAAAAAACACACTTATTAAAAACAGAAAAAAAGTTAATAAAATTTCAACAGATAAGTATACTTTTTTTTTTTTTATATTGTACGATGTACTATCACGACAGTCACACGTTGACTACGAAGCGAACTAAATTTCCCCCAGCACTGATTGGACAAGCTATGTCGTGTGATCATCTGCAGCCAATGATGGCCAAGCGGGCGTGTCATAACTAATTAACATGTTGAGTGGAGTGTTAACTTCCATGGCAGAGTCTCCGTCGAACCCCTGAGACCGACTCACCGAACCCCTGGGGTTCGATTGAACCCCCCAGGTTAAGAACCACTGGTCTAAACATTGCGAGGAAATATTCTACAAACGTTTTTTTTTAAGGTGGAAAAAAACCTTAAAGGTGTCATTTGTCCTAGCTGTGAATTTCTAAATTAACTTCATTATTATCATGGTTATTATTATTATTTTTTTTATTAAATGTTTCAGTATTAGACACACTTGTTGTGTGTACGTGTGCCTGAACAAAGCAACCGCACTGCATCACGTCTCGACGCCGGGGCGGGCTCACCAGTAATCATACGTGTCGTCCCAGTTATCAAAGTGAATGAGAAGTCTGTTGTCCACCACAGCTGCGATGGTTGCCACGCAGATCAGCGACGGGTTCTTCCTGTCGACCGCCTCCAGCTTCATGCCCGCTCGAAATCCGGAGGGAGTCACGGACTGAAAGGGGGATACATTGACGGCGCAGTCGGAATGAAAGGGAGCCGGTGGACGACCCTCAGATGCTGACGGCGCGTGACACTGACGGTGTTGAGACTCTTGAAGAGGTGCTTGGGCGCCAGCTGGCCTCGGCAGTTCTTCACGTACATGCTCCAGTTGAACTCGCCATCCTTACAACCTACGTGACGAACGGATACGGGGTAAGAAAGCAACAACTTGCATGTGGAACTCTGCGCGTGTGTGTGTGTGTGACTACCTTTGGGCAACAATAATTTGTGTCCATTTTTCTCACACCAGCCTGCCGGTTTCAAATCCCACGAGTCTGCGTTGGCCCAAAAGTCATAGCACTCTGGGTAGCCGTCAAAGTGAAGCCTCACTCGATAGCCTTGGATCTGTTGTTACAGTACAGTTCATGCTTAAATCAGCAATTCCATCCTCTCACATGCCCATTAAGACGCAATGGCTGTTGCGGGGGGGTACAGATGTCGAGAAGATTTATATTAATTAATGCGTAGTGGGCATTATTAATGTTAACCGGGGTGGCGTTTCAGTTGAACGCTCTCTGTAAATATCTGTACGTTTCTAATGGCATCTCTGACAAAGGTGACATGTTTTGACGTGAGTCGAGAATCTGTGGTTTTTATTTTGAAGTTATCACTTCATGGCAAAGAAGAGTACGCAGAAGAAGCAATGTGATTTTACGTTAAAGGGCATCAGGCATCCATGTTTTGCCAGTAACGCCACTCATTAGGTTGCTTATGTACTGTAGATGTTTATGACCTGAATCTAAATCTAAAATTCATCCGTTCATGGTTTTTTTGCACGATTTTTTTTTCTTGAAAACTCCTCTTCTCTTGTTAAGTTAAACAAATACTAATAGACAAAGTGCAATCAAGTTAAATGTTCTGCCTGTAATTTTTATGTTATTTAATATACACAAATATTGTGATTGGCATCGGCCTAAAAAATCCACATCGACCAGGTCCTAGTAATTACCAACCCCTGTGGCGTGGCAAATGTGTGTGAGGAATTGTAGGTTGGGTCGGAGTAAATTATCCAATTTCCCATCATTGGTCCAGAATGTATTTATTAATAACAAATAATGTGTCTTTCTTAATCTAGTATCAAACGGCGTATTTGACAGTGACAAGCAGAAGAGTGAAATCCTCTTCCACTAGATGGCAGAAAGTAGAATTGACCATTGCATTACCGTTCATCTACAACGTAACATAATAGAGGCTTCCTGTTCAACAAAGCAGGCTTTGATTTCAAACCAAGTCACTAAATGGAGACAAAACGATTTTTATTTTCGGTTGCTACACTTCTTGTGACTTATTCGTTTGCCATGACATTTTTTCTTTCAACGTAAAAGATATATATGCCTTGGCTCAATTACATTTGGGGAAACATTTGCACAAATAAATGTCAGCCTTACCTCCGCCACGGTGAGCACACAGAAGAGAGACGGGTGACACGGGTCCAGCCCTTCCAGCTTCATGCCCACCTTAAAGCTGTTCCGGCTTTGAGGAACCGACTGATACTACAAGACAAAAGCAGACAGTTGGTCATGGGCTTTTATGGAGGCGAAGATATTTTGCTTCTTGAGATAATGAAGGAGTGGCACCTCTTTGAAGAGTTTGACAGGAGCAGCGATCGCCCGCTCCTCCTCCAGGTAGGCCGGCCAGCTCCATGCCCGCTTCTTGTTCAGTGGGGCTGTGGCTGGGCGGCGGAGTGAGGAAATAAATACAAATAATTGGTGATGGCAGTTGATGACCACAATGGAGCCCACAGATGAGGTTCTAGTATTTCTCATGCATTCATATACGCTCGTGAATGAAAGCACAAAAACTGTTTTTTGTTTTGTTTTTTTATGGCCCGCCAAATGTCAAGAGTAAAATGCTGTTAAAGTAAACTTTATTGATGATTTGTCTAATTTAAACATGCTTTTTTTTAAATGATGCATTTATTATGCTGAGGCTGCACGGTGTCCATATGGTCAGTAAGTCAAGGGTTCGAATCATGTTCTCCCCTTTCCATCCCATATTCCAAAAATATTCACTGTAGTTTCAGTGAAGACCATCTAAAGAGACCTTTGGCGTGAATGTGAGTGTGGAAGGCTGTTTATCTGTTTGAAGTGTTAACTATTAAACGTGAAGCCTGCTTTGCAATGTTTTAATGCCCAATACATGTTTTCGAATGTACTGTATAATGTGTTGAATGTTGGTAGCATGACATTTCCGGGTTTTTTAAGAATGTACAAACACTCCCTCATCAGCACATGTTATCGTGTCAACACACAAAACGTACCAAGTTTGGCCATTTTGGCTGCTCTCCTGCCTTTGGTAGTCTTGGATTTCTCCTGACAAAATAGAAAATAGAAAATTGGTTGATATCACTCGTAGTGGGGTAACTCTGGGATGTGGATGCTTCCTACTTCTGGTTCCTCTTGGTTGTCTTCCTCCTCGTCGCCAGAATCCATATAGATTTTTCTCTTTTTTCGCACACGTTTACCTAAGGTCTCACTTTCGGCCGCTTGGCCGTCCCGGGGCTCTCCGGGAGATGACCTGGACAGAAAAAAAAAAAAACTCTTGCTAGAAACAAAAGCAATTTGCAGTGGACAAAAAGCATAAAGTGAGGATATCACTTGTACCGTCCACTTGTGGGCTGGGCACAATTGGGGCTACAGAACTTTCCCTGTAGGAGGGCATCCCGAGCAACGTGACCCCCGCAGGTTCGGCATTGAGTGAGCTCCCCGTTTGGACCAACTTCCACACTTGGACCAACTTCCACTTTGGGACTTTCTAGAGTGGGTGTCTCCTCCAAAGACAAGACAACAGGAGCAGGGGCTGCAGGAAAGAATGGTACCTTAAACGGTGTTGGATTGAGCTGAGGCCTAAGAGCCCACAAGTGAGGTGTGGATGTATAAATAATGTAACAGGAGCGCCATGTCAAGATGAAATAATGGTGATGTGATGGATCTATCGCGAAATACATGAATGAGTTAATGGATTAACTCCCAGGAATAGGTAGTTCCTCCAATTTGAATTTGGAATCGATTTAAATTGTAATCTCCAAATGAAACGCTAGGGTGCGCCAGACCTAATTCAAATTTAGGACACGGTCCACACAACTGTTTCACAAATTCTTCTAAAATTAAAACTTAACCATTGGATTTTTGTATCATTTAATTACTGTAATAATTTTCAAATTTTGATGATTAGCACCTCAATTCGTTTCATCTTATTTGATTTATGATTATTGTTTGAATTATTGGTGCGCTGCTAAATCTTTTAAAAATGTTAATTAATTTTATTCTTGTCACCGTCATTATTTTATTACACGCTCAGCCACTCTTAAATGGAAGAGCAGCTGCACGCATGACATCGGTTGTTGTTATTAAGAAATCTAAGTAGTTACTCTGGCTCTTTGTATCAAATTATAAACGAGTACTTACGGTCTTACCAAAGACAGTAAAAGTCTTAACAAACGCACCAGATCGAAGAGGGAGCTACCATAAAAAGGAAGCGGCATGACGTTCACCTTATTTCTTAAGGTTACTCACTAAAGGTGGATGAAAGGGCTTAAAACAGGACTGACTTCTTCTCAGCTATCGTAAACCTAAATGGTAAACCATGGTACCTTTCACTTGAGACGATGCCGGCTGAATATTATTAGCCACCGCAGGCGCTGTTTTTGTCTGCGATTGACCCTCTGGTGGAGGGGTGGGACTGTGAGATGGCACCGGATCCAATCCATCCTTTTTTGGCGTCGACTGCTGCCCTTTAACTTCTATGTCTGTCACAATCTCAAGTGTGCCAAACTCTGTCATGCGGAACTGAAGAACACAAGGAACAAAAATTAGATTCACCACAGAAAATGTTGACCTGAAGATTACATTAAGTTCAGATGACAACAATTCTATTCACAAAATGTCACAAATTAAATAGAGCAAGCAAACACTAATCTTAAAAAAAATATGGCGCATACACCCCAAGAGCATTGTTAAACCGACTTCTCATCAGATGAACAGTGAGTGTGCCATTCCCAAAAGTAAAACAAAAACAGCATTTTTATTCAAAGCAATAACAGAGTGGCGCATCCTCCAGTCAATCACATGGAAATTACAAACAAACAACCACTCACACTCACAGCAAACTCCACACAAAGGGAGTGAAGCCAAGATTCGAAACCCTGAACCGCAGAACTGTGAGGCAGACGCGATAACCACTAGGTCACCATGTAAACTCGAAAACGAATTTGTTGTACCCTGATGTCACTGCCTGGCAATGTGGCAATGCCATCCTTCCAGTCCAGAGCGCCCATCATGTCAAAGTCAGCACCTTGCGAGGGGCCGTCACTGGGTGGAGTGTCAGCCATTCCGGATCCTTAAAAATTCCTGCAAAACAAGACTATCAGAAATAAAGTGAAAAAAAAAAGAGTCCGATTATACCGAATTATATATAGGTCTCACTTTTACTATTGCCTTTTTTTAGCCATTGAACGGATAGTCAGCGACCCGACCGGCTTCCGATGCATACGCTACTTGCAAATGTAAACAGCGATTTGCAACATCACCGCTTGATGGCGACTGTGTGCTGGCTCGCATGATCCACCATGCACTTGGATTCCACACAAAACACTCACTAATAAGATTCTTTTTGCTGGCCAACTAGCGGGGAAATGTGTTGACAAAGCGGCTCATTAGGGCCAACCAACACCCCGTTTAATGACAAACACAAGAAAACATGTCCCGATTTAGAGTTAACCACATAAATTCATCTTTTCCTCGTTTTAACAGTATCTCTTAAAGACGTTCCTTTGCCTTCCCCTAAACAAGCGACGGCTCTGTTTATTTATCAGTTTCCACAAGAACGCCGCTTTCCACGCCGACTGGTCCAACTTGTGATCGTTTTGATCCGATTTCTATTGCGATATAACGTTTTAGTCCTGACGCAGGGTCAACGGTGGGAATAAGATGTTTTTGTGCGGTTTAAGGGCCTCAACCTGGAGAAAAGGAGTCAGATTATACCGAATTATATATAGGTCTCACTTTTACTATTGCCTTTTTTTAGCCATTGAACGGATAGTCAGCGACCCGACCGGCTTCCGATGCATACGCTACTTGCAAATGTAAACAGCGATTTGCAACATCACCGCTTGATGGCGACTGTGTGCTGGCTCGCATGATCCACCATGCACTTGGATTCCACACAAAACACTCACTAATAAGATTCTTTTTGCTGGCCAACTAGCGGGGAAATGTGTTGACAAAGCGGCTCATTAGGGCCAACCAACACCCCGTTTAATGACAAACACAAGAAAACATGTCCCGATTTAGAGTTAACCACATAAATTCATCTTTTCCTCGTTTTAACAGTATCTCTTAAAGACGTTCCTTTGCCTTCCCCTAAACAAGCGACGGCTCTGTTTATTTATCAGTTTCCACAAGAACGCCGCTTTCCACGCCGACTGGTCCAACTTGTGATCGTTTTGATCCGATTTCTATTGCGATATAACGTTTTAGTCCTGACGCAGGGTCAACGGTGGGAATAAGATGTTTTTGTGCGGTTTAAGGGCCTCAACCTGGAGAAAAGTAACGAACGAAGGCGGGCCAATGCGTATGTGTTAAGTTTCACTTAGTACAAGGCTGATTGCGTTGTTTTAATTCCTGCCATAAATAAAAGTGGAGGCAAGAGCGCCCCGTGATTAGCATTCGTCTTGGTACAAAATGGCGGAGTATTGGGGGGTGGGAAGAGGCCAACCAACACGTTTTAAACTATGTAAATTACTCAAGTTACGCCACGAAACAATATACATGAGTCTTGCCGGGGCATCGAACAAGGGCTGACGCTCGCCGTGTAATTTCCCGGCGGCTTGTTTTCTGTCGCCTCTCTTATTTTCTGCACTTTGTTGTCACGGAATGTCAGACCCAGCTCGGCTAGCTTAGCTCTGACACAAAGCTAACTGTCAGCTAGCTCCGCTCTGACTAGCATTAGCATCGGGATTGGATGCAGCCAGCTAAGGGCAAGCCGTAATAAATAAGTTTCCCGGTTAATAACAATAGCAAAAAGACGTTAGCACTATTTCTCACATCAGCATTTAGATTGATAATAACGCCGCGTAACTGTCACCACCTTCGACATTGTTGACTGATTAAATTCTTCAATAGAAACTTGAAAAACGATTTATTCTCACCGTTTCACAAACCGGGTGGGGGGAAAATACCGCAAACTGACGCCGCGTGCTGAAACGACACTGGATTTTATTTAAACAAATCGTCCCCAACTTACAATAAATTACTATTAGTGAACCTATTGTGTTTTTCAACAAAAATGTGGAACTCACCTCGTTTCTCTTTTAACTCTTATTTTGAGCTGAGGAGGCTGCGCATGCGTGGAAGATGCGCTGCCTGACAAGTTTGTGTTCGAGGAAAAAAAAGTTCACTTTACGATCGGTGGTCAATGCAACACACGCGCACATACACACGCTTTGAACCGGCTGTGACACAGCCCAATGAGGAGTCACTTTCACCGGTGTCGTTCAACACGAGCAACCGTTCGACCCTAGCGAGCTCATTGCGGTTGTATGTTCTCATTGTCTGCCGTTAACAATAAAAAAGCACTACAATCCATCATACCCTCAACACTACATCTACCGATACCATTATTTTTTACTCCACATAACATTCATTTTATACTTACTGCACGGCAGTTCAGTGAAATCCGACCGAACGCTCGCATGCTATATTCTTCGGATTTGATGTGTTATTTAGCTACGGGTGGACAACACACATGTAGTTGTGTGGATGTATGTGCAACGCAGATGGAAATGCGCATTTCATTTTCCAAAATGAAAAAAGTCCAACAAAAGAACAACGGCACATAGCGTCTAATTCTTACGCAACGCGTCGGTCTCGTAACGTAACCCGAGTACAGCTATAGCTTTCATCGAGGGTTCAAGTACGTCTCAAAACGAAAGAATTCACCCGCGTGGACGGTTTGCTTCAACGTTTTTAGTTGGACATGTTTCAACCACCTCAAGTATCCCCGTTTAACCTGCCCGATCGTCCATAATGGCTGCAGATCTCTACGACGCGCTTTAGCTTGTATGCGGTGATTTGTTTGCGTGTTGAAAAACACGCGTTGTTGTGTTTATTCGGTGCATTCTGCGGCTGAAACAACTGATTTTTGCGAACAAAGGCCCTTGCTGCTTTTTTCTGGGGTGAGGTGAGTTCATTTTAGTGCAGCGAAGAGAAGCGGGCGGCTGACGCTCGGTCGTGTGACGCTTTGGCCTCTAGATGGCGTCAGAAGACCGTGGAAGAGCATCAGGACGACGACGAGGAGTGGGGCGGATTAGCGGGGTTGCAGCAATGCAATCTGTAACCAACCTCACCTCACGCATTATCGTTCTGTCATGAAGACACAATGAGATGGCATTCAAAAGCAAAGCGGTCGACTCGAAGGTAAAACCGCAAAAAGAACTCTAAATGTTGACATTTCAGCCTGTTCCACGCATTTGAAATGGCAACGACGCTATATCGTGATCCAAATAGTAAATACGAGCATGTGGCGCGTTCGAGTTTGACAAAGAAAGCAGTCCGGCTCCACTCACACCTGTACTGCCATCTCATAGAATCCAATGCATAATAATGCTTTGTTCTGTTTGATGGACTGTCATTGTTGGAGAGCGTCATACTGACAGCTGTCTTATATTTTTGTTATCCTGTTTAGCAATAGCTACTTGAGAGAAATTATTATACAATGCATAATGTATTTTAGGGACGCACAGTAACTGAAGTGTAGTGCTTATCAACCTTTATTCAGCCAAGGCGCGTATTATGTATAAGATAAAAAAAATCAAGTGGTATGTTACCAAACAAAAATGTCACGAAAGGTGTATACACTGAAATAATAATGATGCTGTTGTGTCAATTTACTCACAAACGTACTTATTTGGAAATCTGGGCCTGTTTAGTTGAACCTTCAAGCTATTATTCTTTTATTTAAACGGCAACAGGTTGGATACAGAATTCGTACCTTGTGCCATCTAGTGGAAGACCATGTAATTGTTGTGCTTGTCACTATACGTCACCGGTATTGATAGATGAGCAAATATACAGAATTGCTAAACCAATAATGATTTTCGGACCTTTTATTTTAAATTGGACAATCTTCACTGCACACTTGTGGGAATCGAACATGAGACAAAACATTACAAAGCTGCATTTCAGGGCAGCATGTGGTTATTTTGTCATTTTAATTCTGAATTACATTTTAAATTTAATAAGTATAAGTGTAATTTAATTTGTATTTTTCCCTACTAATTACAATGCCTCAAATTCAGATCACACTGCTTTGTGTTTGTATGCCACACAGACCTACATCACACACTTGCAGCCACGCTCGGAGAGATGTCAGCGTGAAACGTTTGTGCAGTACTGCGCTTCTTGAGCTGAGAGGATCGCAAGCATCAGTCTAAGTTTTAAATGAGAGATTCCCATTTAATGGCATTTGTTTTAAATAGATTCATACAAGTGTTTATAAAGTAGAACTGGAATATTTCCTGAAACGCCATTTAATACAGATGTATATTATTGATGAAAGCTCACAACCAGAAGGTATATTTCTAAACTTGCATGGTGTTTGGGGCACCGTGGTCAACTGATTAGCATATCCACCTCACAGTTCAAAGGTCGTGGTTTCGTAGTCATGCTCCTGCTTTTCTGTGAGAATCTTAAGAATAAAGATTTGTTGCATCTTGAGTTTTTTTTGTTTTCCTTGAGAAATATAATATGGCCTCCGCAGGACTTTATAACAACTGAAATGTTCCCTGGTACACAATGGTTGATTTACAACACCACAGCTGAAAATCAACAAAACAATATGTTGGCATAATAATTTGATTAGCATTGACCTTATGAAGCTAAATTGTGCTGATACTTTTTCCTTCATGTGATTAAATTATGATCGTAAATGGCATGGCCTGTGAAGAGTCCCCAACATGTTTGGAGCTTCAGTGCAGATGACTCACTAGTAGTAAACACCCACAACTCCCAGTCGGGAGGTGCTTAAGCAAATTTCCTCCTCGCGTTGTCTACCATGGGAATGATGTAAAATTTGCAATATGATATTACCACCTCTGTCTCTTCCCGCCAGACCGTATTCCTCAATCTGCTGCTCTGCCTGCTCGCCTTCTACTCTCTGTTTTACATGATCGGCAGTGTTTGTTTCGGTGCCTTCAGGTGAGAAACCCTTGCCCACATTCACCCTAAAGACACGTGTCCAATAAATAACGGTACCATCAAAAGCACTCACGTACACTCTCACGTGAATGACACGTGTTTTGATGTTATTCCTAACTATAATGAGCGGCACCAACTTGATTCTTCGTCAAAGTCAAAAGCCCACGGTTGCATTGTAGTCCGTCCATCCGTCCACATGATAGTGGGTCCTTGGTTTACGACGGATTTCAGTTCCTACGACGACGATGTAACCCAAATCTGTACGAAATTCGGAACAGGCCATCACTCATATCTAAAAATACTTTGCTCTCCAATTACCAACATCATGGCCAAAATATAGTGTTTATGATAAACAAGATTTTATTCTTAACTTCCATGCACCCTGTAACCTGATAACATGGTAAGCTGTCCTGTATCTGTAGTAACTGCTGTCCCTGAAAGGGTTAAACCCACCAAGCCAATGTAACGTGTAGCGTTTGCACATTAATAATACACCTACTGTGCTTAAATATTAGCGGGAAAAAATGTACTTAAATAATTCATCGAGTAGTACTCAAAAGTTAAATACAACTGAACTGTACTCAAAATATATTCTTGTACTTGGAAAAGTAAAACCTACTGCACAGGGGGGAAGGGAGACACAACAGGCTGTTTGTAAAGTGTAAGAAACAGACACAAAACTAATTTGAGCATCGTTCGTTTCCAAAAATGACCTCATCACAGTAAATATTCGTATGACAAACACTTCTCCATCATTGATATAAACAAACTAAATGAAAAGCTGCAAGTACAGAAGTGGGCATGGCTTCTTGTGCCACAGGATGACTCAAATTAGCTAATTGCGTGCCATTTTTTAACTTCAAAATGTCATAATTACAGTACACCTTTGAATGAAAAGCATTTCTACGTCATAAATGTTAAATTAAAACTAGTAAGTACGGCAGTAACTGAGTGTGCTTGTTCTTTTGGCATGTGCCTTTCGTAACTTTAAAATGTCGATGGGACCATGGCCCAAGATGAGGTCCCCCTTGTATTATTTACATTGAACTCACTAAATGCCTTTCACTCCTAATTTTGTTTGGTTTACTTTTTACATCTCTTTCGGTTTTCAACTCAACGCAGGTTGGATTATTTCGACGGACGTATCCCTTTCGACTTCAAAACCAAGCCGGAGGATTCCGTCTCTAAATACTTGGGTGAGCGCACCCTAAGGCAGCTAGCCAGCATGATACCCAACAAACCAGATTGTCAACTCTGATTGACTTGTTTTTGTTTACTCCGTGCCAGTCAACCTGCTGTCGTTGGAGCTCACTTACTTCTGCAGTGGCTTGGTGTTTGCCGCTGTGGTGAAGAGGAGAGTGTGGGACTATGCTCTCACTGTCACTTGTCTTCACGTCGTCATCACCAGCCTTGGTGAGTGGTGTAGTTTTAAACTATTAATCACAAGGGTGAAAGAGCTCTTTAGATTGTGCAGCCGACTATTATATATATTTCACGTATATTTCAGTAATGCGGGAGTTTCCCCTGGCATGGCAGTGGTGGGTGGCCTTAGGTGAGACCAACTGCCGAGCCTGTCCAAACCTAAATGTACGACGTGCATGGATGAGATTTTCCTTTTGTTTGTTCTTCCACAGGTGGCGGCTTATTTTTGATGATCTGCAATGGTCAGCTGATTGCTTACTTTGCCTGTCAGGATGACTAAAGCTATGTTATGTTACGTTCACCGTCTGTGATATATCCGAAAGTTTCGCTTTGCTCAGTGGCGTTAACAACACTATGGGATCCCATCGGTTCGACAGTACTGTGCAGATGTCATTGACTAACAACAGATTGGTTGTTTCAGCAGTCCTGGCGACCAGTTCAGTGTATGTACCCCGCCTCTCGCCCAAAGTCAGCTGGGATAGGCTCCAGCTCACCTGTGACCTGAATGAAGGCAAACACTATTTTCAAAGAAATAGTTAATATAATTAGCATCATTTTTTGAATGCACAAGCTAATTTATTGTTCATGACAAACATATGGATGGTATTTGTAATGTTGTGAGGGGTGGACCATCCCTCTTTTGCCATGTCAAGGAGATGTTTCTGTATTTTGTGATGCACATTGTACAGTATTGGCTTCTGAACTTTGGAAAACTGTGAATGTAACAACAGAATGGGAATGATGCAATGTGTACTTATATATTTAGAAAGAATTAAATGTGTCAAAGCTAAATCATCTGACATTTCATTCTACTCCCGTAGAAGTATTTGGACAATTAGAAGAGGCTTTTGATTTTTTACATTTTTTATTTTGTCTTCACACACCACCACAATGTAATCAAAATAAAGCAATTCAAATATGACTGCTGTGTAGGTTTTGATCTTTACTTGTTGAGGTTTCACAAGAACACGACATTTACCATTTAGGAACTACAGCCATGGAGTTCAGCCTCGTAAATATCTGGACACTTTACACAACCTTGCAGACATGTTTAACTATCAAATGTTATACTTGGATGGAAATTCTTGGAGTTTAGTAAGTGCTTGAAGTGTGGAGCACATGGACGAACTGTTCCTCACCTAACTATATGGTTGTAGCCATTAGCTAAATCAGCACACATCATGATAAATAGAGGTCTTCATTTTTTTTTTAATATCATCCATACCCATTGAAACACACACAGTATCCATTCATTTTCTACGGAACTTATCTTCTTCAAGGTTACAGGTGAGCTGGAGCCTATCCCAGCTGACCGCACCTTGGAATGGTCAATCACAAAGCGCGCAGAGTGAGAGAAAAACAATTTAAACTCACATTCAGGCGAGTGAACCACTAGACCATCAGTATCAAAAATAAATACTTTGTACAATGGTTGCTACAATTGTTGCTCCATCCACTTGATGAAAGCAGCTCATGTGGCGTTCATGTAGGAGAATCCTACAAAGGTTTCACTTATCCCGCCCTCTTGGCACCTGTCATTTATGGAGACAGGCACGGGCTGTAGCGTGAACTCGGGGTCGATGTAGCTGATGTCGCAAGGACTCCTCTGCGAAAAGCGACAGGACACTCAAGATCGTGATGTCGTGTATTTAAAAACATTTAGTTGTAAAATTACCACATTGGGGATGAATGGAGGCGGGACTTTCTTCGCCAGTAGGTCATCCCAATTGATGGACGCGAAGAACGCATGTTCCTGCAGCTCCACCTGAGTAGGCGAGAGGTTCATCTCATTGTGGCTACGGGTATTTATAAAGTCTAGCTGTCTTCTGCATGAGCTCTTACTATGTCACGGCTTTCCCCCAAGCGTCTGGAGATTTTCCTTTCCAGTAAACCCGCTAACAGCGAGCAGGCCACCTCAGATATTCCACTCCGCAGGCGAAGAGGCGCATGGAGTATCTTCTCAAACATCTCTGTTTTACTGTTGCTGTAAAATGGAGGCTGACAAAGCAAACACGGTATTAATAATAGTAATATTTTTTTATTATTATTATTAAAACCTGATGTGCTCAAGAAAAAACAAGGGCAGATTTGGAATCAGCACACAAAAAAAAATCATTTAGAACAATTTACTTGCATGTCTGATTAAAAAAATGTATACATTTTTTGACCAGTGATACGTACATTCTATCATGGATACTTGCACCCGCAAACTTTGGAGAGTTTTTGAGGACAGGAAAGCCCTCAAAAAGGCAGGTACATATTGGGATACAGTAATAATAAGAAAAAATACATTTGCATTGCAAGAGGTTGTTAGTTAATAAAAACTGCACTCACCAGCCCGTGCAGCATCTCAAAAAGCACGCAGCCAAGTCCCCACCAGTCCACTGCGGGACTGTACATGTGACCCTGCAGCACCTCTGGAGCGAGGTACTCCGGAGTCCCGCAGAACGTATGCATGAGCCCACCTACGGCCACCCCTTCTTTACAGAGTCCAAAGTCGGTCAGCTTCACGTGTCCCTCGCTGTCTAGTAAAATGTTCTCCGGTTTGAGGTCTCTGACACACAAACACATGCAAAGGTAAATCCTTCACCGAAGAGCATGTACTGGGGAAAAAAAAAAATGGGGGCAGTAAATTAGGTAAACCTGAACAGGATAATTCGATCCAATATTAAAATTCTGCCTTTAAGTGACAAGTTAAAAATGTTTAATTTTGGTTGAATAACCATTTTTGTCAAACTTTCTGATTTATTATGTGCCACTAGAAGGCATTTCATAACATGATAACATCTTCTTTGTAGCACGACGAAGCATTCCGGTGGAATTCAAGAGCCAGAGACACGGCAAAAAACGCGAAGCAGTATGTTACTAAGGTTACCTGTACACAATGTCTAAGGAGTGAAGGTAGCCCAGCGCCAAGGCCATCTCTGCAGCGTAAAAAGCAGCCCTGCTTTCAGGAAATGAACGCTCTCTCTGGAGGTGATAGAAAAGCTGAAAGTGACAAAATGAATCAATGATTGTTCGTACTTGGAAAAACAACTGAGAATTTTGCAATATGTTTACCTCGCCTCCATTAACATAGTCCACAACAAAGTAGAGCATGTTTGGTGTCTGGAAAGAATAGTGGAGTCCCACCAAGAAGGGATGTTGCACCCCTTTAAGCAGAACGCTCCTCTCAACCATCACATGCTGCTGCTGCAAAAACGGTAATTATAGTGTGAGACAGAGAGATAGGTGGGCAGGTAAATAGTTAAGTAGGTAGAGCAGAGATGGTCGACTGGCGGCCCTCTGAGTGCCCCCTTGATTTATTTAAAAACAAAAACATTTTGAAAAATACATTTATTTTGGGAAGCTCCCATTTATTTTTGTAGCTCCCAAAAACTCTAAAAAAAAAAAATCACAGATAAATATTCCCAAAAATTGTTCCATGAAACACGGAGGTTTAAATAGGGAAATAAAATTATGGAAAAACTAGGGGAAGAAAATAGATAAGAATAATATTGGAGAAAATAAATCGATTGCCAAAATGCAGCAACTTTAGTTTTCAATTGTAATATCATCACTTACCACTAGATGGCAAATGTGGCTTAGTTGCACTTAAACTGAGTCTTATACGTCGCAAAACTACAGCAGGTCGATTATTTTCTGTGGCTTTGAAATGATATGCAGGACAAAGTACCTCAATAATATTAATATTTTGTTGTTGGGTTATAATAGTTGAAATTTTTCCATGTATTGGGAAATGTATTAAAATAAAATGAGACCAAGATCCTTTCAAAACTTGTACAACTCAATTGGGTGTTTCTTTTACTGTTGCTGTAAAATGGAGGCTGACAAAGCAAACACGGTATTAATAATAGTAATATTTTTTTATTATTATTATTAAAACCTGATGTGCTCAAGAAAAAACAAGGGCAGATTTGGAATCAGCACACAAAAAAAAAATCATTTAGAACAATTTACTTGCATGTCTGATTAAAAAAATGTATACATTTTTTGACCAGTGATACGTACATTCTATCATGGATACTTGCACCCGCAAACTTTGGAGAGTTTTTGAGGACAGGAAAGCCCTCAAAAAGGCAGGTACATATTGGGATACAGTAATAATAAGAAAAAATACATTTGCATTGCAAGAGGTTGTTAGTTAATAAAAACTGCACTCACCAGCCCGTGCAGCATCTCAAAAAGCACGCAGCCAAGTCCCCACCAGTCCACTGCGGGACTGTACATGTGACCCTGCAGCACCTCTGGAGCGAGGTACTCCGGAGTCCCGCAGAACGTATGCATGAGCCCACCTACGGCCACCCCTTCTTTACAGAGTCCAAAGTCGGTCAGCTTCACGTGTCCCTCGCTGTCTAGTAAAATGTTCTCCGGTTTGAGGTCTCTGACACACAAACACATGCAAAGGTAAATCCTTCACCGAAGAGCATGTACTGGGGAAAAAAAAAAATGGGGGCAGTAAATTAGGTAAACCTGAACAGGATAATTCGATCCAATATTAAAATTCTGCCTTTAAGTGACAAGTTAAAAATGTTTAATTTTGGTTGAATAACCATTTTTGTCAAACTTTCTGATTTATTATGTGCCACTAGAAGGCATTTCATAACATGATAACATCTTCTTTGTAGCACGACGAAGCATTCCGGTGGAATTCAAGAGCCAGAGACACGGCAAAAAACGCGAAGCAGTATGTTACTAAGGTTACCTGTACACAATGTCTAAGGAGTGAAGGTAGCCCAGCGCCAAGGCCATCTCTGCAGCGTAAAAAGCAGCCCTGCTTTCAGGAAATGAACGCTCTCTCTGGAGGTGATAGAAAAGCTGAAAGTGACAAAATGAATCAATGATTGTTCGTACTTGGAAAAACAACTGAGAATTTTGCAATATGTTTACCTCGCCTCCATTAACATAGTCCACAACAAAGTAGAGCATGTTTGGTGTCTGGAAAGAATAGTGGAGTCCCACCAAGAAGGGATGTTGCACCCCTTTAAGCAGAACGCTCCTCTCAACCATCACATGCTGCTGCTGCAAAAACGGTAATTATAGTGTGAGACAGAGAGATAGGTGGGCAGGTAAATAGTTAAGTAGGTAGAGCAGAGATGGTCGACTGGCGGCCCTCTGAGTGCCCCCTTGATTTATTTAAAAACAAAAACATTTTGAAAAATACATTTATTTTGGGAAGCTCCCATTTATTTTTGTAGCTCCCAAAAACTCTAAAAAAAAAAAATCACAGATAAATATTCCCAAAAATTGTTCCATGAAACACGGAGGTTTAAATAGGGAAATAAAATTATGGAAAAACTAGGGGAAGAAAATAGATAAGAATAATATTGGAGAAAATAAATCGATTGCCAAAATGCAGCAACTTTAGTTTTCAATTGTAATATCATCACTTACCACTAGATGGCAAATGTGGCTTAGTTGCACTTAAACTGAGTCTTATACGTCGCAAAACTACAGCAGGTCGATTATTTTCTGTGGCTTTGAAATGATATGCAGGACAAAGTACCTCAATAATATTAATATTTTGTTGTTGGGTTATAATAGTTGAAATTTTTCCATGTATTGGGAAATGTATTAAAATAAAATGAGACCAAGATCCTTTCAAAACTTGTACAACTCAATTGGGTGTTTCTTTTTATTTATCTTTTAGAGTGGGAAATTGAAAATAAACAACTGATATAATGTGGTTGCAAAAGTGTGCACACACGTTCAATACTGTGGACGCTGTGGATGTAGCTACAGTATGTTCAGAAGTGACCAGTCACATTCAAACTCATGTTAAATGGAAGTCAACACACAGCTGTCACTTTTTAAAGTGCCTTTGGTTCACCCCTAATGAAGGGGTGTGTCCACTTTTTATATCTACTGTAGGTAGGCAAGTAGGTAGTTTACCTCTTTCCTCATAACAACCGTCTGTTTGTGTAACACTTTCACAGCAAAGTAGCCTCCACGTTTTCTGTGTCTGGCCAGCAGCACCTGATTCAAAAGGATCGAGCGATGACACAAAACAAAACGCGACACATACAACAAAAAAGAAAGAATAAAAAAAAAGCCTACCTTTCCAAAACTCCCTTTGCCAATGACTTTGAGGTAATCAAAATCAGATGGTTTCATCCTAAAAGACACAAAGGAAGATGATGTGTTTGTCTTTCTATAAGACCACAATGGGAAATAATTAAATACAAAACATATGCATAAAATAAAAAAATATAAACACATATTGATGGCAAGAGAAATGTATGTAGAAAAATCGTGACCTAAAGCGTACCACACCATCTGTCAAACATGGAGGAAGCTGCGTTATTACGTGGGCATGTAATAGCTGCTAATGGAGCAACAATTGTTTTTATTTGACACTTCAAAATTATGCACAGCGGGCGCAATGTAAGAATACGCAATCATTCACTGTTTTCGCTGGATTTTAAAAAATATTTATGGCCTATTTTCCCATAGAAATATTTACTTTAATTACGACTATATGACTGTGTTCAAATAGGTTAATAAATAGTAATAATAGTAATAATAAATAGATTAGTAAATGATTGACTAGGAACGGAACACCATCAGAAACCAAAGAGGTCCTGTTTATGACAATATTCGCATTTATTCTAATGGCGCAAAACTGATAGAATGGCTCAATCATGACATAATACATACGCATGAAGGACTCGTCTGTCAGGAAGATTTTTTATTTATTTTTTTTGTCAACCTACAGTCGTTTGTGGAATTATGGCCATGACCATTGCCATGCATCTGTTTCTAGCAATGTGGTTTTATTCTGTGTTTTTGCCAGCAAATTAGTTCCATAACATTGGGACTATGAGCTGTGACTATTTCCCCTAGCCTTAACCTCTGCGGCTTAAATGATGAAGTGGTTTATTTGCGGACTTTCCCAATTCACTGGACCGTCACGCTCTGAGCTTCTCTATAACTCACCAAAATTGTGTTTACTGTTCAGGAATTTTCTCATGGGCTCCATCCGAACATGTACTGCTCATGTTTTAAAATCAAATTCATACACATTGTATAATTCAGATCTGCTCAAGAGAACAGCCTTCATTAGGTTTCCACTTAGGTTTATTTTCGACAGTAAGGTTGGTTGTTTTTGTTTTCTTCTGTTCTGTATTTGTACAAACTATGTATAATACAGTAAGTGGCGCTTGAAACCAGTGACTTATCAGTGACACTTTTTATTTAATCTGTTGGGTGTGGCTTACGGTATACTGTATACTCATATGCTCACCGACCAAATTTTATATTCCATCTATTCTTGACCTTCAGTGAAAGACATATACTCACAAGGAGGATTGAGACCTCGGTGAGCCCTGATGAGACAGAAAATACATAAAAGGTTAAGTAGTCAGATCCTGTTTCATTTCCTGTGAATAGACTGCTCTTTCTTTCTTTCTTTCTTTCTTTCTTTTTTTAAGTGTCATTCGAATCTCACCGCGTTATCTCTGTCCTCCATCTTTGCCCTGGTTTTGCTCCATAGGTGACGGATCTTTCTCGTGTCCTGACTTCAAGGGAGGGGACAATGCAATGAGAAGTGTCATAATGTTTTCCAACATGTACAGTATTTTAACGGTGACTTACTCCTGACAAAGTGGTTGATAAGGGGCGAGTTTGTGTAATAAGTGCCTGAAGAGAGCTTTTCTCCCCTTCAGCAGAGCTGAAAGACAGTGGTGAGGAAGATTAGTTACAAAACCATTTACAGTATCACTATGCAGCCTAGTGCCCTCTACCATACTAAATTCAACACACAAAATATGCAAAGAGAGGGCTTTAAACAACATTAGGCTCAGTGGATGAGCGCTTTATGGAATAGTTTACCTTTATAATGACTAATAGTAGGATTAGTTTGAATTGAAGTTGAATTTTTACCATCGACACTTTCTAATATAGTTATTTTGCTTACTAATAAAACGGGACAAGTGAAAGTGCAAGACAAAAGTGCACTTCACTTGTGCCATTTGGTCAAGTAATTCGAAACGATCCCATTTCCATATACCGTCGAAGCCTCAAAACCAAAATTCCCGTTTCTAATAGGATTTTAATATGCTAAAAGCAGCATTTATTCATTCATTAAGACCAAGTCATTGAAGTTTCCAGACATATTGTTAGCATCTTTGTATGACGTCCTGAATCATTCGTGCACTCGAAATGACGTCGGTCTTGCAAATTAAAAGTACTGTACAGTAACCGCCTTACCTGAGAATAATGACACAAGCCTCCTCACTTTGGCGTAGGTCATCGCCCCGTCGTGAGTCAAAGTCATGTGGATGAAACAACGAACAGCTGTATAAAATAAATTAGGAGCGGACGGGAGAAATCATGATCACGGCTGGTCTCAAAGTCGTCTGAGCTCCTTTTACAGACCTCGACCCAAATGAACGGCTGTGGTGCGGTCACTGACCGTCGGAATTTCTAGAGGTCATGAGAAAAGGCCACATTATGAGTGAGGTCGGTGAGTGCACATATTTTGACTGGCAGATGCTGTATAATATAAATGTGATCTAAATTATTTGTTTGATATACTTTATTTTATTATCATTATCGGTATCATCATATCATATCATCATCAAAATTACATTGTATGGGTACTTAAATGCAGCATCCAGTGTAAAAGGTAACATGTTAAGATATTTTGTTCTCCTTTCACCATTACAGTGTAGTAAATAAGAAAAAAAAGGCGGGAGCAAGACAAAAATATTGCTTCCTTTTCACAAAGTGATGTTAATTCAAAATTCAAATTCAATGTGGCTGTTACACCGAGAAATAACAAGAAAATACAAAGAGAGACTGAAGTGATGTCCAATTTGTTTTTAAACCTTAACACTGCTCACACTGGTTTAGCTTTTCTCTGTTTTGGAATTATACCTCCTTTATTAACTGTGTACTTTACCCCAGTTCCTGATGTTCATATTGAGGAATTCCCACACCAAATTTAATGAATGATCATTTATACCCCCTGTTAAAGAGTATAAATACTTCAGCTGAAACATTTGTGCACTGAGTCTGCCAATGACCCTGAGTTTTTTTTAATTGAAATTCAAGAAAGTAGAACAGAATTTCCATTGCAGACTAAATATAGTTAATAGGTCATGACCTACTGTGACGGACGGCATTTGAAAACTCTGTTTCAGTCCTCTAGTCTCATGTAGCCATTGCATGCCTAACAATCCACTGGACCTGTATGCATCGTTTCCGTGCCACATTGTGATTTCTGATTGAATGAAACCAGTTCAGCATTTATACTTGTTTACTACTATAGTTCAAGCACCCCCCCCCCACAATCATCATCCTTAACCTTTCAGTTTTATTGTCTGAATTACATAACCACACTTTTATGACTGTGTGATCATATGATGAATGAAAATAGCAAGAGGTGCTATTCTGAGTTCCCGCACAGTAAGTGATGTAAGTCTTAGAGGAGTTTGCATGTTCTCCCCGTGCCTGCGTGGGTTTTCTCTGGGTGCTCTGGTTTCCTCCCACATTCCAAAAGCATGTAATACACTCATTTTCATGACTGGTCAGGTTAAAGTCAAACAACTCAACTTTGATTTCATCTGGCCATATAGTACTTTATCGCATGCCTTCTCTGAGTCATTTAGATGATTTCCATTTAAGAATAATGTCATCAAATGTTGTGATATTCTCACTAAGCCTTTCACTGATGTTTTTTTTTTTTGGTTTGTTTTTTTAACCCATTCCCTATCTACAATCTTGTCTGTCTCAGGTTTTAGACTTGCCAACGGTGGCATTGAAATTGTAAAGTAAGAAAGTGATTCTTAGAACAGGTGTGCTTTACATGACTCGGTGAGCTCAGGAATGCTGGTTAGTTGTTGACTCCTCATAGCTGTGTGCCACATGGGCATCAGCCAATCTGTGGGAGCCAAAATTCTGGTTGTGTTCGTCCAAGATCAAATACTTCATTTGATTCATTAAACTGGACTGCTTTTCATAACTTTTATATCATGTTATTTTTAACATGAATGTTTTTTGACTTATTTCCAGATGTGGTATGCTTTGGATCATGAGACATGACTGATACTGAAGTAATATCAAGTTTGTCTGTGTGTCCCATGTCTAAAATTGGGAATGAGTTCTGAGCTGATATGGGTCATGTGGATTACTGGTACAGAAAGCTGATCTCTTGACAGTTCATGTTTTCACTGCATTGCCCCGAGAGCAAATGGGTTTGCGTTGGTCACTATGACAACAGCCCAAAGTTTCTTTTGTCTAGTTTTAGACATCCAGTAGAATGTCAACCCTCAAACCGGATCAGTCTTTAGCGGGAAAAGAATATTCCCTACAAGAGTTGAAATCCATCTTCATGCAGAAGCCATACTTTACTCAGTTTAGATTGTCTTGATATCAGATGTCAAGCCTGAGAAACAAAAGGTCCTAATCATTAAAAAAACTGGGAGGGGCAACTAATAATATATGGACAAATTCAAGTCTTCAATGAACATAACATGCATGGGGGGGGGGGTTGGGAGCAGGGACACTTTCAGGACTATTTTGTCTCCCACGGCCCCTTCTCAAGATTTCTCATTTTCCCTAGATGTTTTTTTTTTTCCTTGCCCTTCCCCAGGGTTAAGGTCAGGGGATGTTAATATTTGTCAACTGCGGGCATGTGAAGCCCTTTGAGACTGTTTGTGATTAAGGGCTGTATAAAATAATGTGACTTGACTTGACGTGGATAAAATGAGGCTTGACCGAAAGGGAGGCTTAGAAAAAAATCTATACCTACATCATATATTTCAGAATATAAAATAAAATGGTGAAGGGGATTATCTGGGGCTACACAGATTTCTGACAGGTCTATAGCCCCCTAGCCCCGGTGTAGCGATATCCTGGTTTGAGAAGAAATACTGTACTGTACTCGAAGAAAACCCAGCAAGATGCAAAAAGGTGTGACAATCGTAGTACCTCATTTGTCCTTTAGGTGACGACAAAACCAGAAGAAATGCAAGATGCCAGATTCCACTGAAAACACACTTGCACTATTCTGTTTTCGAGAGGAGCAGAGTGTACCATGTTAAACATTGTTTGCCCTGATTTGTTATATATCTAGTATCCTGTGAAAATTAGACGTTAGAAGTTCTAGTTAGTAAATAAATAATTTCCCACAAGATGGCAAAAGCAACAGCTGACCTGTGTAACAATCTGTTGTTGTTGTTCATTTCAGGATATAGTCTGGATTTGTTGTGACTTTTTTTTTTGGGTGTTGTACCATTACATTATTCTAATGTAAAATATGTGCCTCGGCTCATTAAATGTTGTGAAACGCTGTCTTGCATAATCCAGGCAAGTCATGGGCCACATTTTACCAACGGTTTCCTAAGAACTTGAAACAGAGCCTTTAAGAGCCGAATACAGAAAAATATGACAATTCTTAAAGCAGTTACTTGAAGATCATTATTTGTGATACGCTCACAAATTGGACCTTGACACAGAACAGAAAGTGGAGGAAAGCCTATTCGTTCGCGAAATTGCAGTTTTAGTTTAGTTGTAAATAGTTGACATGCATCTTTACATCTCTAGAAAAGCCTCTGCCTCTAACATTTTAACATACCACAGGCCGCTGAAAAAATGAGAGACAAGCTCCATATAGCCCCTGGACTGTGGTTTGAACACGATATTTGCTTGCAAAATAGCATTTCTATTCTAGTTGCATGTAGTTTATATGTGTCTTTACATACATGTGCTGCTTCTAGCATTTTAGTATACTGTATACCACGGGCTGTTGAAAAATGGGAGCTGGGCCACAATTGGCCCAAGGCGCTGTAATTTGGACACATCTGCGTTCGAGGGACGGTAGGTGGTATCCAGTAACTGTGAACCGATATAAATTTAGAATTTAAGCACCTTATCATATTACTGATACATAACACATTGACGAGTTTAGAAATCAGTAGCCAGTGAGCATTGTTTAACCATTGTTCAATAAATTAGATTTGGTCGTGAAAAAAAATGCTTGCAATATCGCAATTGCTAAAAGTAAAGACAGCCTTCAAATTTGATACAAACGTAACCATTAAACACGATTAGATTGAGTAGGCCACATCAAAAGATGTATCAGACACCTGTGTAAAATATAATCTAAAAGCAGATAATGAAAACACTGAAGAAACGTATTTCACTTTAGAACATTATTATTATTATTATTAATAATAATATTGTTGTTGTTGTTGTACAAAAGAAGCAGAACGTGTGTCCAAACTTTCGCCCGCACTGTTTTATTGATTTCTCATTGTTTATGTGCGCGCTCCCGGCAGCCTGACTTCCAGCTCGGGAGGGTGCGCGCAAAGCGAAGGGGCGGGGCGGAGCTGCGTGGAATCAGGGCAGCTGTGGGTGAGGAGTGTCCTGGATATTTACCTTCCTCAACCTGGATCCTCGGACGCCGCGGCCCGTCCCGAGGTGTCCCCGGCGGTCACTTCCATGTGCGCGATTCGTCTCTAAAGCGGGACGACGGAGGTAGACGCGACTTTTTCTCTTTTTTTTTGTGCCCGCTCCCTCTCTCTCTCAAGAAAGGTTTGATGTCGCCGGAGTTGCTCCGGGCTTGAGGGAAAAGTTTACTAGCAACGAGTTTTTTCGTGTTTAGGGTGTGTAGCTACACACATTGCACGCACAAGTCGAGGCTGTCAACAGGTTCCGTGTTCGGCACAAAGTACGGAGAGGTCATTGCCGTTTATGTTGACAACACCATACCATTGTTTATTGCTTTTCAGATAATGGTTTGTTTGGTTTATGTATTCGTTTTAACTCCCTTTGTGTATTTTTGTGTACCCGTCCCTATAGTATTTGGCCGTTGTGCTGAATCTCAAGCACATAATTCGGTGTATCCCAACTTCTATTGAGTCAAGGCATAATTTTTATGTACGTATTTGACATTTGGAAAAACTGTCAAGGCACAGAATCAAGCAAAAATGTCACCAAAAGTGGACGCACAGGTTGATTATGTCTCCTTTGCCATCTCGTGGAAGAGATTTTATTTTTTTGTTGCCTGTCATTATATGTCACTGGCAGAGATAGCTGAACAAAGATATATATATATATATATATATATATATATATATATGTATATATATATATATATTTTTTTTTTTTGGTAATTAATGCTGAAATTCAGATTTAGAACGCAATTTTCAAATCGCAGAGGCTTTAATTTTGGGGGATAAAATCATTTTGGTCAACTGCTACTAAACAGGTACTAAATCTGATTATAATACGGATTTATTTACCTCTTGTATTTGTTAAATACACTGGAAGAGGACTTTGAAAAAAATCATTGGATATTAAATCACAATCACAATATTGGGGGCGGAGTCACAATGTGACTATTTTTCAAAATCATTCACCCCTAGCAGTAATTAAATAAAATTGGGTAATTTCTGGTAGCACACCTGATGATCTATGTCACAGGAATGAGCCATGACACACTGGTGACTTATCAACAGTGTATCTAATAAATCTGTTCAAGTCAATCTATCACATGTATATGCTAACCACAAAGAGAAGCCTGCATGTACATGCTGATTATCCTTGTTATAAAGTGTTCACTTGTAAGTAAGCCTGTGAGAGGCTTACTATGGAAAAACAAGCCATCAAGTAGAGCTCAGATCGGTTTTAATACATTCCAAGTGTGTCCCTGTGTTCAAACATTAACTCAGAACACTGCGGGCCCTTGTTTTTTTTTTTTTTTTTCAACGCAATCCATTAATCGTTTACCTGGAAGCCAAGACAGGACTGGACACACTCGCATGCACGCAGGAACATTCCTCCAGCCTACTAAGAGGTGTGAGTGGGTGCTTTAGTACTGTACATGTGTATGTATTTGTGTTCAGCCTACAACTGCAAAATGGGCGTGTTGGAGCGCTGGAAAAAATGTTGAACATTCTTATCATTCAGCTGCCTTTGCGAGAGGCAGCAAGAGCCAAAGGCAGGCCCGGGCCGAACATAAGACGGATCACCCGGAGTGGGGAAATATTTACATTTCTTCCTTGGGGACCTTACAACATTTTTTTCTGAAATGGTAAAATAGAAACAAATAATTACAAGTTTTTTGTAGCCGTTTATTTGGTTTTAGAAATGCACGGCGGCCAGATCAAATTCACTCGCCAGTTTTATGTGGCCCACGAGCCATATGTTCACCACCACCCTGCACTGTGTACACTCACAGCACTCCTTTGCATTCATGCTACATTAGTCACTGCTCCAGCCAGTGCTCGGCGTGCAGTGTCATTGTGAGGGCGGTGCTGTCAGACAACAGTGTGAAAATGTGGATCATGTTTGTTGTCGTGTTTCTCAGGTCCCTCTCTCTGAGACCAGCCAAGGGCCAGGGTGGTTACCTGCGGTGACAGACATGCCAAAACCGGACCTGCTCTGCTTAGTTCAACTGCTGGACGGCACCATTGAGACCTTCCGAGTCAATGTACGAAACACACCGAGAAACAGTTTCCTGCCCGTGAATATGAGGAGATCATATGTTGCTGCTATCTGTCACTGTGCTCTGCTAATGATCGTTGTGTCGGAGCACGACGCATCTTTTTTTTTTTCCTTCCTCTCATTGATCCATATTTCATGCTCAACACTGAACCTTGGTGTCAAGGACACGTTCACCTCCTGCGGTTGTCATCCTTGAGAGGCTTTTGCATGATCAGCACACCGTGTCAAACGAAGCACGCGGGTGATATAGATGCAAACGTGCAGATATGGTGCAAGGCAATCAGTGTTGCGCTCTGAAACCGCAGCTGTCTAGCATCTTTGTCTGAAGATTTAATATGCAATATAAACCCCCACCTTGATTACATCATACAGTGAAGGTAAAACGGCAAGTTTTCCCACACATAATCTGCTACTAATGACTTCTTGTTGGGGACTGCAACCTTTTTCGTTCTCAGCCATGTCGTGCAAAAGCTGTTTAGAGATTTGTACACCCCTCTGCATAAACTGCACACTGATTAGACTGTGCAAAAGTACCACTCAGGGAATAATATCTGTCGAACAGAATATGTTAAGGCTTTTTTGGGGGGGCAATAGGAATAACTAATAGCCTCATCTGGAGGCGGATTTTATACCAAAGTCATATTCAGCCATTCAAATCAGATGGCTGTAATGGATGCGATGAGTGTATGTAGAATAGTTTGTGTTCAGAATGTCTATACCTGCGTAAGTACTGCACTAGCTCAAATTGAGGCCTCTGTTTTGACCGACAACAAAATCAAAACACAGAAGCACATTGCGGACATCCAAGCTCCACACTTGCAAGGCCTGAGCCAAGAAACAAACCTAGAACCTCGGAAGTATGTGGTAGGTGTCCTGCCTCAACACAAATATTTTAGATAGTCAAATGATTGTTGGAATGTGGCAGGAAACCACAGAACCCGGACAAAACCCATACAAGCACATGAAGGATAGAGCCGAGGTTCAAGTTCTTTGAACTTTTATAGCAGAAATCGGCTGAGAGAGAGAGAGAGAGATTGTTCAGTCGATGTGCCGCGTCTCATGTCATGTCCGTGTTTCAGAAGCAGGATGAAGGTGTGGTTTTGTTGGACCAAGTGTGCGACCACCTGGGCCTGCAGGAGCGGCAGCTCTTCAGTCTGCAGATCAGAGAGTCCAGCACAGCCGTTACCTCAATCATGGCCAACACACACTCGCCCGTGAGTGCACACACTCTTCTCAACCTCATGCATCTTTTTTTTTTTTTTTATTATTATTTAAAGCCAGCCACTGTAACACATTGCACTTACTCGTTGCTGTTTTTTTGCCCCCACTTTCATGTTTATTGATTATTTGAGCATACAAAAGCACATGTGGTCAAGAGACATTTGAATACAAAAAACAATTTTAAGGATATCCACATGCATATAAAATAATTTGTTGCTGTTTAAACACAGGGTGTGCTTGCTTTGTGTTTTTTTCTGTCCATGTAAGTGATTATGTTTAACAAATTTCTTTCTGATAGAGATGGTTGGAGCTTGAGAAACCCTTTAAGAAGCAAATCAAAGGTATTTACCGGGCAATTTATTGACGTTTTTCTTCCATTGCAAAGTACATTTTGACATTTCCAGAGAGGCAGTGTGATGACGGCACTGACACAATGACATTTCCCTGCAGGTCTTGCATCTCCCTTTTACCTAAACTTCAGAGTGCGCTTCTTCATTTCCGATCCCAACTCTCTACAACATGAACAGACAAGGTGCTCTCTTCTGTTTGCCTTAGTTTATTTTGTTTTGTATTTGGTAAGCACAACATTTTGTCCACTCGATGAACTCGATCACAAAATCATGCCTTTATTGAAGATAATAATGCTCAGTTTTGTATTTATTTCACATGTTCCTTAGCAGTCGTTGATATTTTGTACTGCTGTTTTCAAATATTTTACATTCTTATACAGTGCAATGAAAAACTATTTGCCCCTTCTAAAATGCTTTTTTTTTTTTGCATAGTTTCCTCACTTTAATGTTTAAAATCATCAAACAAATGTACGTAAGCATCAGACAATAATAGCCTACTTTGTCAGTAAATATAAAATGCTTGTTTTATATATTAAGAGAAAAAAAACTATTCAAAGCTATATAACCCTGTGTTAAATCGTAAATGTAGCTGTGGCTTATCACATTTTTCAGTTCATTTTCACTGACCACACCTAAGCCTGATTACCCCCGGACCTGTTCAATCAATAAATCACCTAAATAGAACAAGTCTGACAAAATGAAGTCGGCCAAAATATCTCAAAAAGCTGCAACAATATGCCATATCTTCCCACCCACCAAAACAAAAACAAAAAAAAAATCAAAAACAGATGAATAAACTAACTGACATACACATCAGTGTGAAAAGGGTTCCAAGAGTCACTCCAAACGCTTCCAGCGGTTCCAGCAAATCACGGTGAGGGCCATTATCCATAAATTAAGAAAACATGGAATGGAACAGCGGTGACTCTTCCAAGCGGTGGGCAGCTTACAGAAATTACCCAAAGAGCATAGCGAGGACTCATCCAGGAGGTCACAAAGGAATCCAGGACAACGTCTAAAGAACTGCTGGCCTTCCCTTAATGAAGGTCAGTGTTCATGACTCAATAATGAGGAAGAGGCTGAGCAAAAATATCATCCATCGCAAAGGTCTAAGCCTAAAACCACTGCGGACCAAAAAGAACAGAAAGGCCCATCTTGCTTTTGGAAAACACATCTGAATGATTCCTCAGACCTTTGGGAGAATATTCTATGGATTGACAAAAAGAAACTTTTTGGAAGGAATGTGTCTTGTTACATCTGACATAAATGCAACACTGCATTCTAGAAAAAGAACATCATACTAATGGTCGAATGCGCTGGGAGTGATGCTCTGGGGCTGCTTGGTTAATTCAGGACCTGGACGAATTGTATGAATTTTATTCTTTACCTGAAAATCCTGAAGGAGAATGTTTGACCATCAGTTTGAGGCCTCAAGTTGAAGCACATTTGGATTCTGCATCAAGACAACGATCGAAAACATCTCACCAAGTCCATTTATGAATGGCGTAATCTTTAAAAGTCCGTTCATGCACAAATAGAAAATACTTGATTTCGGTTGTTGCTGCCGAGGGTGCCCCAACCAATTATTAGGTTTAGGGGTCAAAAACTTTTGAACACTGGGCCTTGTAGGCTTGGATTTTCTTCCTCCCTAAATAATAAAAACCTTCATTTAAAAACAGCATTTTGTGTTTGCTTGTGTTGTCTTTTACTAAATATTAATTTGTCTGATGATAGTAAACATCGTCCAGCTGAAATGTCAAACACCTCAGTATGATGCAGTGCAGTTCAACATCTCAGTAATAAGCTTGTTGTTAAATCTCTAAAAACTGGACATCATTATCTTTATAAAAGCAATATTTTTGCTAAAGGTAATGTACCAGCCGGTATCCGTTCAGCGGCTTCATTGTAAATAATCTCACAGCATGACAGTATTTCCTTTACTGACGTTTCACTCCCCCAAAAAGTTCTTTCTAATTCTAAAATCTCTTTAATTTTGTTCTCCGCAGGAACCTTTACTTCCTCCAGATCAGGAGTGACATTAAAGAAGGCAGGTTGGTGCGCAAAACAAGCCCGAACACAACCATCACAATCCAGCCCATTTGTGTACACTTTTTATAGCTTGCTACATTGTGTCGCGCTTGATTGCAGGTTGCAGTGCCCGCTGAGTTCAGCTGTCGTGTTGGCCTCTTACGCCGTGCAGTGTAAGTCTCCCACAGCAACCTGTGATTAATGACTTCATAACAGCTGTGGGAATAATCACACTGTTGAATGTGCTCTCGACAAATGCGACAAAAGTATTGGGCCACAAGGAAGTGAAAGGATGATATGCGTTCTTGCAGCGATAATACTCCAATAGACTTTCTACAAAACCAGTGGGGGGGATGTGGGTGTTTCTGCATGTTGGGATTTCAGGCTGTCGCATGAAAGTGGCTCTTAATCTTCTACCAGTCTAGCTGATCATGACATGGGCGGATAAGCTCGATGTTATTATTTCTAATGGTACCACTGGTCAAGTGACCATTTTATCGCGAATGAAAATTGTTACTTGGCAAATTTGCAAAGGTGCAGAACGACCTGATAAACACGTTGTCATCTCAAATTTTTGTTTATAACCCCATAAAGAGTATGTTTTCCGCAAAATGTCTTGAATAAAATGAATTTAAAATTCAGGGGTCAATCCCACCCTGTGATTTAATTGATCAAAAGGTTTGTCTAAAAAAATTTGCCATTATGGCATACGAGCGTCATCTCATGGAATATTTCTGTTTGAACAATAGCTGAGCTGGGGGATCACAGTCCATCCCAGCAAAGCGGTTACTTGTCCAAGTACCACTTCATCCCTGAGCAGGATGAAAACTTTGTTTCCAAAGTGGAGGACCTGCATCCAAAGCACAAGTAATGTGATTCATAGCATCCATTCATACCCCTGCTGCGCTTTGCAGTCGGTTGATTGACTTGACTGCACGTGTCTGTGTGTTGGTCTAGGGGTCTGAAGAAAAGCGAGGCCGAGTTGTGTTTCCTCAACACAGCACGGACGTTGGAGCTTTATGGAGTGGAGCTGCACGCTGCCCTGGTATCATGGCCTCCTGCATCAAAACGGCCATTTCATGCTCCATTTTCATTTCATGGCTGACATTTCTCTGACTCTCTCGCTTCTCTTTCTCGATTTCAGGACACCAACAATGCCTCTCTAATGGTGGGCCTGGCATCAAGTGGTGTTGCAATATTCTGTAATATGATTTGCTCGAGTTTCTTCCCTTGGTGAGTGATGGCCGCGCTCATCAGTTTTTTTTTTTCTTTTTTCTTTTACCCTCAAGTTCACCACAAATGACGTTGTCCCAAATCACATTGTTCCCATGCAGGGGGAACATTATCAAGATTTCATTTAAGAGGAAGCGATTCTTTATGCATCTCAAACGTAAACACGTAAGTATTTTGTTGTTGGTAATAGTTATCCACAAGTCCGCCATTGTGTGTCTTTAAAGGGTAACTCAAGTCAACAAATTTCTTTGCAATAAAAGGTTTGATGTGACCCATGACGTTCGCTGCGTGAGCCCGAGGGCACTTTGACATCAATTTCAGACAACTGCAGTGGGCGGTGTTGCATGAAATGTGAGCCTCCTGAGAATGCAAAAAAAAATATTAAAAAAAACAGTGGATTCATTGACTTAATTCTTAGTCCACCAATGCGATATTAGTCACAATATTATTTCAATTAGTGCGACCACATAAAACATATTGCATGTGTGACCACTATTATAGCCCCATATTGCTAGAATGTTAGTGAGACAGACCTCAACCATGGCCAAACTGTCACCATAAAGTGAAAGTGTTTGTTGATTAGCAGGCTGCAATACTTCCTGGTGAAGTAAAAAGAACAAACGAACAAAGCCATTATGATTGTATGGAGTGACGTATTCCATTTATGTCGGAGTGACTCAATACAGTTGAAGTCATTTCTTGAATCGGCAGCTTCATCCAGATTCTCACACACAAAAATTATTGTGTGCATATTTACCAAGTCAAAATGACTGCAGCAAAGAGGGTTGTTAAACCAACAGAGCTTCCTGGATGTCTATTGCTTTTAGTAGGACATCCGTTCCAAGTTGCTCCGTGAATTTCTTGTGGGGATGTCTTACTGGTGTGTGTAATACTTTTAGTTATACTGCAGATATTCCATTTATTCCTTTTATTTTTGTATGAAGTCCGCATTTGGATCTCTAAATACAAACGTTTTGCCACTTATATGGCTTATTACAGTAATTCATTTTGATTGATCGTCTGAATAGTATTATAGGGATACACCAATAACAGTTTTTTTTCCAGACTGAACACGAGTACCAGTACTTATATTTATTTTGAGGACTCATCACAAATACAGAGTATCGACAATGCTTACTAATGCCATTATGACTCAGAGTTGTGGTAAAAATTTGGTATTTTAATCACACGTTTCATTGAAATACGCTTTTTAATGACTTTGGTGTTGTCATCTGTGTTAACCTGAAAAGCATCTCCACATGACTGGCATGGCTCGTACTCCACCTTTCCATATAGTATATATCGGGCTAATAAAGTGGTGTCAATGTCATAGTATGGTATTTGTCCGAGAGCAAGTAAGAGTACAGATGTCTTGGCACCGATACTGTTCCTGGTATCGGTGCATCCGTAATATTTGATTCTGTGCTACATGCAAGAGTATCGATCTTTTTGACCTAATAGCAATTGCGATTCCGCAGGGGGAGACCCAGGACTGCGAAGTGTCGCTAGTACTGCTCTGCGCAAAGAGCTGTAAGAACCTGTGGCGCTCCTGTGTGGATCATCACTCTTTCTTCAGCAGCAACCGCACCGCCAGGAGTCCCAAACACAACAACAGCACAGTTCAATCCTACAGGAAGATGATCACACACCACCTGGGCCTTGCAAACAGTAAAAACGAAAGGTGCATTTTCTTTTAGTCCATCATACAAGATATATTGAAATATTACGTTTTTTTTAAACACCACTTGCATTACTTGTAGTGGTCCAGTTTGTCAACGTGTGGTGGGCGGGATGGTGTGGAACCCAGTCCTGCGGCGGTCCATTTCATCAGAATATTTAGAGACGAAGAGTCTACCGTCGAGATCGCCCCCCAGCACACCCAAATGGTACAAGTGCAACATCTCACCAGACTGAATTCTGGAATCATCATTATCTTCTTTCTGATTTCTGTCTCTGAGACAGGCGGAGTACTCGCGTTCGCCACGGCATCCGCAAAGTCCGTCCGTCATCCATGGAGCTGAACAGTGAGTTGAAAGACATGTCCGAGGGAGAAGACGTCTTCTACACTTACAGGACGTCCGTCAGCAGCAGCAAGGACAGCGAAGGGGACTCTTCGCTACATCAGTGTGTATTTCATCCTTTTCCGTATTATTCTTCGAGGCAGGTTTTTCACTTAACTGACAAACAAACGTTTGCATATTCACAGATTGTAAACTTCGATTTTGAATGCATTGCTTTATAGTCGACGTCATCCCAATCTATTTTGCACTTTGTGCAAAAATTGGTGATCGACTGCAATGTCATAATTTGCGCGATCTATCAATGACGTTATTGATCCTCAAAATCAGGCATTACAGAAAACACAACCGCGTTCACACTGGGGTTGTTCTATGCTGCCCTAGTGGATATGTGAGCCCGAAAGCTGGTCTATTTTTAGCCTTGTCACATGTCGTGAGAGTGGAATTGGTAATTGAGTATCGTTTTGTTTTTTTTTGTTTTTTTTTTTCAAAACTCGCTGATCGACCCCAAAAATGGTGATCACGTCAAGCCTAGTTGAGAGAGCTTGAGTTCATCCTCTTCAGAACAAATAGCTCCTATCTGATTCAAGAGTGTGCTCGTTAAATGGAGCAATGATAGAAGTCAGAGAAAATAAAAATTAACTGCTCCACCCGGGCCTCGCTTGAGCAGATTGACTGCCTATCTCAAAGATGTGGAGGTAGCGGATGATTGTTTTAACATCAACTCAGTCAGGCAAGCAAGTGTTTATCAGACAGAGGTGACAGATTTGCCATTGGGGTCCATTGGTTTTATATATATTTTTTTCCCATTACCACATCCACCATAGGGAGTTTAGCAAAACAAACATATTTTTATATTGTGTGATTATGTGATTTCAACCGTTGGCGCAATTATGCTGTCACTCTACACTGTCATAATGTGATAAAACAACATTTAAAGTACATATGCTGTACAGTATATCCAGGAATGTAATTTACATGCTTTAAAGGCTTAAATTCATCTTGTGTGCTCGGAAAGTATGTACATATACATTTACAGAATACTGTAATGCTGGCCTCTGCTCTAGACGCCATGCCTCAATGTGTCGCCACATGCGTCATCCTCTTGAACAAATACACACCTCCATTATTTTACCCTCAAAAAAAAAAAAAAAAAACAATATAGGTGGGGCATTTTTGGTGGCTGAAACTGCCTTAACTATAGCAAGGTTTCCACTTGCTGACTGTAAAATATGATGTGCTTTTTTGACACTGTATGCCGGCCATTACAGGCCTCTTTAACCAACATTTAAGGTAATAAGATGATTAATTTCCTCACTCTTATTACAATCCATAACCAAAGGTTGGATGATATCTGGTTGCAAGCTGATGACAGTATAACCGAAGAGGATGGCGTCAGCAGCTCCCTCTACCCTAACAAGGTATTTTATGAACTGTAATTTGGCCACACCCTTAACTACGTATGCTGTACTGCATTTTGTGTGTTGTAATTATGACTGTCTGTGTTTATGCAGCAGGCCCTCAGCGACGGCGACCTGCTGCTGATTCGCATCGCTCCTGATCATGAGGGCAAGTTTGGCTTTAATGTTAAAGTAAGTGTAAAACGGTTGTATTCCCTCTGGTGGCTCTTGTTGTGTGTTTGTCACTCCACTCTTATGATTTAATTTCATTTTAGGGTGGGGTGGATCAAAAGATGCCTCTTGCCATATCCCACGTGAAACCTGACTCTCCGGTAAGAGCAAAATGACGCAAGCACGCACTTATATGATCACTCTGACCAGCAGGGAGTGAATCTGGCAAAATCATTTGACTTAAAAACATTTGAGCCACATTTTCGATTCCTATATTCTTAGTGCATGGTTTAAGTCAAGCTTCAAATCTTTTATTGAAACTCTGTCATTGACTCGTACCTTGCCTGTGGCCAAGTAGGCTGTTATAGGTTCCAGCTCACCTGCCGCCGCAGTGAAGAGAAACGCGATAGAAAATGGATGGAGATCATTTTGCACATAAACAACACAGAATCTGCATTAGCTTAAAGCATATCACATCATGTTGTCTGCAAGGTGGTAACCTTCACAACATTGTGAGGTTGAAATGTTCTGGAGAATTGGAAACCTTTCATGGAATCAGCTGGAATATTTATTCATGCAACTAAAGTGAAAATTTTGTAGGTTAGTCATTTCAGCACTTGCGACTTACTGCCAGGTAATTGTGACCAGACCGTCAGAAGGTTCTGTGCATGCGTGAGTCATTTCTGCAATTCTGCAGTGGGTTTATCAAGGCCACAATTTTAAATTTTACATCAAGGAAGTTTTGAGTAGGGAATAGGAGAACATATAAAAGTATTATTCACCGTGAGGGAAATGAACAAGAAAAAAAATCGCGGGACAAGCAGCTGTAGTCATGTCGACGGAGTGCGTTGTGTCTAAGTTAAGAGAAGGCAAAAAAGGATAGTAGGAACCCGTTCCTGTATGGTGGGGATAGGGGGCAGTATGTACTATCTATTCCCCAAAACGAACTTGAGGTAACAAATTTGTTTGACACCACATTTGCGAATCGGCTACGAGCTTTGCAGTTAGCAAACATAGCATAAATTGAAAAGCTATGTATAGTTTTCAATATTTCCCCTTTTTTGTTCGAGTCACTTTTTAAAATACTGTTCACCACATTGGGATTGAGTGCGCCACGTCCAGTCTTGCATCATAAGTAGGAGGGCACTTTCTTCCCATTGGTCAATGCAGAAGAATCAATCGAAGGATCACGTAGGACATGTCACACTATGTGGCAAGATGAACAAAAATTCTGACACGCCAGACCTTCGTCGTCATGGTTGTGAAGCGTTCCAGCTAAAAATCTGTCAGCTAAAAATCGGGGTCCATTTGTGTAGTTTGACATCGGCATACGACAGTCTACAGTAGGTGGATTGATGTGCGGGTGGAGTTGGAAATATTTGCTGTTCAGTGACGTTGACTCGTCTCCAGGCCGGTCGATGTGAGCCCAAACTGCTGGAGGGAGACCAGGTGGTACTCATCAATGGTCGAGACATTTCTGAACACACACACGACCAGGTGGTCATGTTCATACGGGCCAGCAGAGAGTCGCACTCCGGAGAGCTTGCCCTGCTCATCAAACGCAAAGGTCTGCTCGTAGACATGCAAATGGCAGGAAATGTGCTGAGGCGAACTCTCATGAGTGACGCCCATCCCCCCTTGTATTCCAGGTCCTGGCCGTGCAGCGGCCCTGCTGCTGCCGCCTCCCGCCCTCACCCTCACCAGTCAATCCCAAGGAGACGGGCAGCCAGAGCTGGTCACGACATTAGACGAATCGATGCGACTGGTGGAGAGAGGAATTCAGTCAGGAACTCTGTGCTTCCACTTTGAGGTATTTGATTTAAGAAGACGTGGATTTGATGCAGGTCGAGTTGCCGATGACGTCAGTGATATTTTTCCAGTTCAGTGTTCAGAAATATTTTTCGGATTCCTACTTGAGCCTTGCAAACCAAAGCGCATTCGGAAACAGAAGACAGTTAAAATCAATTAAAGTAGTGGAGTCATTTTGTTCGGCGTACTTTGTTGTTGTTCTGTCTCCTCCTCTAGCCAAAAACACGTAATTAGCGACTGGTCCACGTCATCCTCTAAATGTCATTGTGGAGTAGTATCGTCGACTAGTCTGTACAAGTCCTAATTTGTATACTACACTGAAATGGATTTAATTGTCATTCTAAGCAGGAAGTCGTGTGTCCCTTCCCTATGTGGAGTATAAAAATGAGTCTTTTAATGAATCGTTTCGGGACCGATGCTGGCCCTAATCCTCATTGGACCATCATACGCTGGTATTTGTAGTTGTTGTTTGTGTATGAGTTTTCATTCGTTTCATTCTTATCATTCCCAGAATTTATATCGGAGGAAGCCCGGCTTGACGCTAAGCTGCGCTCGGCTTCCCAAGAACATGGAGAAGAATCGCTATCGGGACATTTTACCCTGTGAGTGCGTCCTTCCAATCCCTTGATGCTTCCTCCCAACCAACGTCATGTTACTACCCGCTGATGTAGCACCATGCACGACTTTATCTGGTGAGGTGTGTGAATATGCTCACTTGCCCATTTCCCCACTCTCCTTGCAGATGACGTGACCAGAGTGACCCTCGAGGGCCAGGAGGACTACATCAATGCCAGCCATATCACGGTGCCCATACAGCAATGCATTTACATCTCTCGAATGGATGAATGTAAATGCGTGTGGTTGGTTTCTGTTTGTCCGCTTCTTAGGTGGCACCTCCGGTGTCTGGGGAGTGTTTACGTTACGTTGCAGCTCAGGGTCCACTGCCGCAGACCTGCTCTCACTTTTGGCAGAGTGTTTGGGAGCAGCAGTCACACACCATTGTCATGCTTACGACTCTGACAGAGCGAGGAAGGGTATGCATGCGACTCCACTTCCTCCGCACCTTCATGATGGGAAAAAAAATATTTTCTTGGGAATGACAATGAGTAAACAGCCACGGAAATGCTGGACATTTAAACATGTAGTTGGGGTTTTATGAGATGCGCGATGACTGCATGGATACTTAAGAGGTGCAGGTTATGATTTTGTGAATGTGCCAAAATAAGACAATTGTGTCACCTTCACTCAGACACAGCAGTAAGTAATAATAAAACTTTGTAATGATGATGATGATGATGAAGTTGGGACCTCAAAGTTAGCTAAGGCCGGTGAAATGACAACACTAAAGCTGAGCAAAATAAGAAAATCCAACTCGAAAGAAGCAAACCTACAATCATTACAAGAGCCTCAAGCCTGGACCATTTCTCTCTTAAAAGCAGGTTGAATGGTTGGCTTCTTAATTGTGTGATAATACCGAGTTATAAAAGACACAAATGACTTATTTTATTGACCTGCCCCCTACGTTGTTCGTACGACAGTAATTTGCTTTCTGTTGAGTTGATTTACAAAAGTGTATAGCGAGGCATCATGATCAAGGTCTTGTATAAACGAAGTGCGCTTCCTCGTGTCGTGGCTGTTGCTTGGTAACCTGAAGCTCTCGTTAATTGTTCGTTTTTCTGATCTTCGTGAAGTGCCTTGACATTTTCCTTTTGTTGAGATGTGCGTGCACACACATTACAATCACTTCACATCCCGCTCCCGATGAATTTCCAATTCCTCTCGAGTCTCCAAACGTACAGTAGACCAGTTTAGTTTCAAGAGCAAGGAAATGATATCTTGACTGATGACTCAAACTCATCCAAGTCACTGCTTGCTGTGATGAATTTACAGACCAAGTGTCACCAGTACTGGCCGCATCCACCCGAAGTGAAGGATTACGGACACATGCGAGTGAAGTGCCACTCAGAGGAGTGTAACCTGGCCTATGTGACACGGCAATTCACCCTCACACACACTCAGGTACACTAGTAGAAGATTGTTTTTCTTATTTCACAATTACCTTTTTTTTTTTTTAATTTATTTTATTTTATTTTTATTTTTTGTTAAACTCCTCTACCCTTTGTCACCAATGTGTCGTGTTTTTCCGCTTTTACCGCCACTTTTCTGCTCTGTTTCTCTTTCTAAGCATTATGATGCAAAATACTGGGCCATGCCACTTGATAGTCTTAGGCTAAACCCGGCATTCTTGCCGTCTCTTCTTCCTCATTTTGTGGGAACATTGAGGAACCAAGCATGGTCCATAAAAGCATGCTTTGAAGAACACCATCAACACCTTTAAGATGAACTACATCAGAGATGGTGAGCCAGCATGACCAGGTCGTTGTAGTGTATATTATCAAATAAGAGTTCTAACCTAAAGTATGTTGCGAATGACATTTTTGACATTTTTGCCCATTGCACAGCCCCTTCCCTAAGTGCTGTTTTGTCATCCCCTTTACGTCTTAACACCTTCAAGCCAGTAGCACTCGCTGCGGTTTTCTCCATCTCAAATCAGCTATGCTTTTCAAAGTGTTACCATGGTTACATGTTCAACGGTGGATGCATTTCTTACTCAGAGGAAACTTGTTCGGAACTTTGGGTACGACACATTTTGTTAATGTATAGCCACCAGCCAATCAGGAAAAAAAAAAGGAGGCACTGCTGTACTAGGCTTCCATAATATGAATCTGAAACAGGCTTAATAGAAGTCAGAATATAACAGCATGATAATGATATTTATGTAATCCATCAGGGACATGTACAGGCTGTGACTCATGTTAAATGAAACACCTAAAGGCCACGGTGCATTTTGCTTTAATGCTTGAAAACAGGAGAGGGAGGGGTATTCCCTTGAATGGCAGGCACCCATAAATCCTATGCAATGGCCCTTTAACACTGACTTTCTTTGTTGCATGAGAGAATTATGACAGCCGACACGGCGATGGTTTGCTTGCTACACGTGCCGCGGTTGTGCCATATGTCCCATCTCCACGGGAAGTTACCAGCAGCCAAAACATGCTAATTTCCGTGTAGGCGGACTGATGTGTATCCAGGTAGTAAATAGGGTGCAACGTCCAAGTGGAGGAGTGTGCATGGACAGTTGGGTTTACATGGCGCACACTCTTCCTAGTCATAAAATCGGACTGGATTTTCCACATGAACCTCCCAAGAGAACCTTACAAAGCTCAAGGATGCATGAAGTATGAACGTGCTCACATGCATGCACAAATACTACCGTGTTGGCCCATCTGTTACTCGGCGGTGCTAGTTAATCCCTGCATGAAGTCACAGGCCGCATGCCCGTTTAGAAAAAATAAATAAAAAACAAGAAAAACACTCAACTCAGCTCTTCTGTGTTCCTCTCTCCAATCCCCTCCACCTATTTGTTTGCTTTTATCCCATCATTGTGTCGTCACCCCGCATTTTGTGATCACACCTCAGGATCACGTGCGCCGAACACACCCTGTACTTTTTGTCTTCTCACATGGCAAACTAAGTCATTGTGGTAAGGCCTCCAGTTTAGTTGGTATATTAATGTCACTCAACTCAACTGTATTTATAGAGCACTTTCAAACAGCCGTCGCTGCATACAAAGTGCTGTACAGGGAGCAACTAACATATATACAACAATAAAGCAATAAATCAGTAACAAAGATGGTAGAAAGCACCAAACAGTAAAACTAAGATCAGATCTGCGTCATGCCGAGTCAAACGCCAAAGAATACAAGTGAGTTTTTAGGCGGGTTTTAAAGATGGGCAGCGAGGGGGCTTGCCGAATGTTCAGTGGGAGGTCATTCCAGAGAGAAGGACCAGCAACGGAAAAGGCCTCCGTTTAGTTCTTGGTACTTCTAATAATGTCTGGTAGAAGTTTGCACGTGTGTTTTGTTGCTAACATTGGGTGCGGTGTTGTTGGAGGTACAGAATGCACATTTTAGTCCAATGTTGTAACAGAGGTTTTGCACTGCTTGCAGTCTCTCTAATGATCTTCTTCTTATGTGTGTGTACTCAGCGGGGTGAAGAGCGTGCGGTCACACACCTGCAATACGTGGCGTGGCCTGACCACGGTGTACCTGATGACCCTTCCGACTTCCTGCTGTTCATCACCTCTGCCAGGGAGAGGAGACGAGCCGAAGAGCCACTCGTGGTGCACTGCAGGTAACACCCCCCGTCTCCTAATTGAACACACGCCCCCTCTACTGTGCACCCAGCATTGTTCGCTCCAGCAGAATACTTCTCTTTTAGCGCCGGGATTGGACGGACGGGTGTTCTGATCACCATGGAGACGGCTCTGACGCTGTTAGATCGGGGGCTACCGGTGTTCCCGCTGGACATTGTCAAAACACTGAGAGATCAGCGAGCCATGATGATTCAGACCACGGTACACTGGACCAAACATAATCCTTTCCAGGAACATTTGTCCAAATGTCTCAGGAAATAAGGGATAATATGTTTCATGGTCAAAACCGGCGCCTTCATAAATCCTTTGTACTGTACATATGTGCTACTGAAAAAATAAATAAAAATCTCAGGTGCGGTATATATATTTATGTGATTACATTTCTTATTTTCTTGAACATAATGGCTTTTAAATAACTAATAACTATTAACGCTTGGATCAACACAATTGTTCCATTCTGCAAATTTACGCAACTTCAATGTTTTTAACAAGATTTTTTTTTCCCAGGACTTAAATTAGAATAATTTTTCAAAAACGTTCAGACAACAATGGAGCTAAATTAGACGCATGCATATGAATGTTGCCTGTTTTTTTTCTTTTGTTTTTTTTTTTTGCCATCTCTCACTATTTATTTGGTCTGTTGCAGTGTCAGTTCCAGTTCGTGTGCGAGGCCATTCTGCGAGTCTACAAGGAGAAGCAAGGGGGATCTACGACCCCGCAGCCCAAATGAGCACCAGAGGAAATTTAGCCTCATAACTTCCACTTGAGCGACTCCCACCGAGGGGCTGACAAGCACCACAAGAGATTAACCTCTGTTGTGCCTGCGGGGTCGCTACATGGTCTGGATAAGAATTATGTAGCATCCAAGCGCAGCTGGATGTCAGCTATGTAGCCAAGATCAAATAGGACACTTTGAATCTCACACTCGTCTGCCTTACGTTCTGCCTATAACGCCAACCAAGCTTTGAGTGGGATACACAAAACGAATGAAAGCTGCTAAGCTCAGGAATAAATCGGTGTCGTCTGCAGGATGACTGATGGAAAAGGCAGAAGAATTGTTATAAATATGTAGTTTATATGCGTGCCTTTTAGTAGAAGAGCAGAAGTCTGTATACTACAGAAGATACTGTGTGGGGTACTGTGGTGTTGCTACCACTTTTCACTTAAATTATTCTCACCATGAAATAAACGCGGATTTATATGCCCTTCGTCTGCTTTATTAGGATCCTCATTCTAAAATTGTGAACCACACATATGCACCTCAAACTGGAATATCATTGAAAACTTGAGAAAAGCCAGCAATTATCCTCTTCATTCCTACTCTGCTAGCTTGTTGTTAGCAGATTTTGATGGTCCCGTCCTGCTGGGAGCTGCACGCACCTCTCATCACATTGTCTCAATTGTGACTGCACAAACATTTTGCCAATCATAATCAACGATGATGACAGTCTTCCTGCAGCTAATCAATCAAATTTTGTTCATCTGGACGGTAATCCCGGGAGAAAAAAAATTGATTTACTAAAAAAAAAAAAAAAAAAAAAAAACTGACTACAATGTGGGAATCCGCATGCCAGTTTTACTTCCGCAGTGTAATTAGTCGATAGTACATTTATCATAGAATTCTATGATAAATGTACAATCGGACGGTTACATCATGGTCTTCTATGACCATGCATTACTGGCAATGTGAGCCTCTTTCTTCCACATCCCAACAGAACGATTCTGCACACTGAAGAGTTTCAGGCCATTCAGTTGACCTTCAGACGAGTGACTCCCAAGCTGGCATCCGACCAGCACAAGTATCAGCATAACAAATCAAGCCCCACCGGTCTGTTCTGACAATGTATTGGCATCTATCAGGAAGATACTTGTAATCTTGTTGTGAAGACAACTGTGACTGCACATTTGTAGCATTAATGTTAATGTTAGGTTCCCATATCATTTACAGTAATATGTTTTGCTTTTGCCTGTACTAAAGCAATGAAATTATTTTCATGAACATGACCACTGACACATTTAGGCCCTGCAACGAGGCTATCATTTATTAAATAACTGCAAAAACGAATATCCAAAGCCATATAAGTGATGCACTATACCTTATTATACTGTATTAAGAGTGTAGAGTGTGTGTATATATATGTGTGTGTGTGTGTGTGTGTGTGTGTGTGTGTGTGTGTGTGTGTGTGTGTTTTAAATAATTTTGATGATTACGTCTTGCAAAAAACCCAAAGAAATTATATTACATAAGAAACAATGTATCCTGCCTTCCGCCCCAAGTCAGCTGGGATAGGCAAGCTTGCGACACCAGTGAGAATAAGCAGTACAGAATATGAATGAATAACAAACAACGACAATTAACGTTAATATAGAAATTAGGTTGGAAGTGGCCTTTGTGAAAAGTATTTTCCAATGTGTTTAATGAATCTGGATAATACTTTGACGTTTTAAAAAATTTATATTTTTTTTTATTTGGATAATCAGTTAAAATCAGTCGCTGATTAGTTAGTAGGCAGGATAAAATTTCTTTTCGGGATTTTTGACACCTTGTCCCCAGCCACCTCCGACCGATCTTCTCTCAAAGTGGAGAGATGTCCACCAGATGACGCTGTTCTGTTTGCGCGCACACACATTCACACGGGCGCGCGCACGCAGGTCGCAGAAGTTTGAAGTGTTTCTACGCATGCGCGGAGGAGGCTGTTTGTCCAGTTTCGCTGGTTTGACTTTTACCAGTCAGCACAGAGCCGAGTTTGCGGTTCCCATGCGGAGCTTTTGAAGCTCGTCGATCCGCAGGGGGTGCTCCCATGCCGGCCAAGATGCGCGAGACTTTCCTCCCCCCTCCCCGGAGCGTGTGACTAAGGGGTTCCCACTGCAGAGAGTCACGGCGGGATTTTTTCCCCTTGGTGTGTCGGTGGGCAAACATCAAGGAAGCAAGCGGCAGGTGCACCCGGGAGAGGACGGGGCAAGTCAGGAGGAAGGGGCGGAGGATGAGGGCGGCCCCCGCGGAGAGGAAATCAACTGGTTGGCTTCTCACATTAGCATGCGTGTCGAGTCCCCTAGTCCTGCCTGAGCCGCCGAGTCTCCTTCTGCGCCTGCCGACCGAGTGACTCCTCGGCACGGGGAGAGGACGCGGAGCCGAAGGGACTCCCCGCCCCCCTACCCCGACCCACTACTGCCGTGGGACTCCGTCCTATCACGGAAGGGAGAATGATGGGTTTTTTGCGCCGGACGTTCAGCCGCCGCTCGAGAAGCCGCCTCCAGGCGAGGGATAGGGACGAGCGGGATGGTACGGCCGGGGGAGGGTACCCCCTGCTCATGGCCCACCAGCAGCAGGTCGTCCACGCGCCCGCTGTGGTCACCGGGGGAGTGGCTGTACACATCCCGGCTGCTGGGAACGCGAGGACCGCCATCACCTGCCGGGTTCTGCTGTTGGACGGCTCGGATGTCAGCGTGGATTTGCCCGTGAGTGGCTCGGTGGCGCGTTGGCTTTAACTCTGGCGTCCTAGTGATAATTTTTTTTTCTGGATTTCAACTCGTGCCGTTAACTTTTAAATCACTTTTTGAAGCCATGGATGGGTGGATGGATAAATAGAAACATGGAATGTTTTAAATAACTTTGCAGTTTATTTGGGCAGCGCAGTCTGATAGTGGTTAGCATGTCTGCTTCACAGTTCCGAGGTCTGGGGTTCGAATCTCTGCTTCCGCCCTTCCTGTATGGCGTTAGCGTGTTTTCTCCGGCTTCTTCGCACATTCCAAAAACTTGTTTGATTCTTTCAGGACTGTAAAAGTGAGTGTGAATGGTTGTCTCTATGCCCCTTATAATTAGCCAGCGACCAACCTCTTAACTATTTGCTCATTCATTACATCATCCATCCATTTCTTATCTGTTTAGCCATACGAGGGTCGCTGGCGTGCTGGAGCCTATGCCGGCTGTCTTCGGGCAGTTGGCGGGGTACACCTTTTACATCATATTTAATATATATTTATTTTCGCACAAAAATGTTCCTCAACCCTGGTTTACATCTTATAGTAGCATACAGACCATTAGTTTATTATTGGACTATTCTTGAGAAATAGCACTTGTCAATCTTATTTCTACTGCAGGAAAAGTGGCAAAAACGAAAGTAAGATAACACTGTGCCACTATTGTATTGACATATTAATCACAGGTGGTGGCAGTCACTGAAACCAGCAATGGCTTCATATTTGAGCACTCCTGTAGGTACGAGACCATAACCACAGATCGTGCTAGACTGTCACCAAAGATTCTTCAAGACTATAATCAAAGATTGTGTCAACAGTGTCATTTTTTTTCATTACGGGCCAGAATCGGTCATTTTTGACCTCAAGGTGGCTGGTGGTTATATTTGTGAAACCACATAAATAACCGCCTGGAGTGTATGCAAAAAAATCAACAACAAACTCCAAATGGTCTTGGTTTGGCTCACGTTTTAGCCTGTGAGCAATTTTTTTTAAATTTTCTTTTTAAGAAAACAAAGGATGTTGACGTGATAGATCAACAGTTTCTTTGCATTTGTTCTTGCTTTGGCGCCATTTTAATTCTGCCTTTGTACCGTGTGACTTTTTCTTCTCCGTGCATCACTGACATTCGTGATGCTGTTTAAATGAGTCAACAAATTTGATGTTCTGCCAGAAGCTGAGCTTCACTGTTCATTCACGGACTAGCTGGTTTGCAAGACTGCAAGGCAGTTACAGTTATTCCTCTATATGTTCTGTTTGGCAACCCTGATAATCGCCCCATGACATAACATAATTGACCCTCAGTTTGATTTTTATCATTTATATAGTAGTTTTGAACAGAAAATGACCACATTGGATTAGGCTGTGTACTAGACTCTAACCACTGATTCTGGTGCTAGACCATAACCACAGGTGGTGGTGCTTTAATTTCCTAATTATAGTGACATACTGTACACCATAACTACAGAAGTGGCAGTTTATGAAAACAATACAATTTACTGCTTCATAAAAATACATTTACTTCACATTTGAGTTAGCATTTTGATGTGCCCCTCGACCACCCTTTCACTTCCTCAGATGGCTCCTTCAGAAAATCAATTGCCTCTGACCCATGATTATGCTAAACCACTGTATATTCACAGAGATTATGCTCGGCTATAACTACGCAACTATTGATGTTGACAAAACCAAACTCAGCATTTTTATAACTGAATAAAGTTAATTCTGTCTCTTACTTATAACTGAAGTTTTTGTTTTCGGAAAATAATTACTGACGTCGACCATGAATGAAAGGAGGAGTTATTCGTCAAGCCACAAGATGGCTGCCATTTCCTTATTGCCAAGTGCTCAGATGAGGGGGAAAAAAAAGGCACCGAGAGGCGCGGCCTCATCTGGTTCCCTATTTTGAATTTAGGCAAATTCTGCCAAACAACCAGAATGTCGCCAACTACCCCCGCTTTATCTTTTACACCATCTCCCTGTCAACTCAGAATTCCCCTTATCCTCCCATCTTGTGCCATCTTAATCTTTTTTTACACGCCCTCTTGCTCATCGCCACTTTCTCTCCTCCTCCATCCATCCCTTCTCCGTCCTTCCTCTATTCCCAGACTCCCTGATCTGATTTGGTGTCACACACGTACAAGTGCGTGTGGGTGAGCGAGTGTGTGGGTATGCGTGCGTAAGTGCCTTTTGGTAAGATGGTTTCATTTTGAAGGTTGTGTGCGCGTCACCTCGCACCGCTTTGCTCGTGTCTGCATGTGTCCAGCTGGGACTCGCAACAACAACATGTAGGTTCCGACGAATAATGCAAAATGACACACGGCTCATCAGAGCGGCGGCTTAGTCACAGATGTGTTGCAACAAGTTTGCTCATGTCCTCGTGTTTCCCTGAAGGCTGAGACACAGGTGTGCCCAGTCCAAAAAAGCTTATTAGACATTCACCATTTGGGAGTACTACACGCAAGCCAAATTTTGTCCCCCTGATGCAGCTTCAACAGGATCCAGGTCATGACTTCAAATACCCTTTGCAGAATGAACAAGGGTACTTCTGCTGTTTTTTTTCCCCCCTCCCTCCCATCATGTCCCCAATCCTTTAATACCTCTGATTTCCTCACACACCCACCACAAAGTTTGGATTGGTTATCAGGATCCAAAGTACAAGGCTGTCATCTCTTTACACACAAACACACCCACTCGGTGTAAGTTGGAGACGCTTCACTTCTGGTTCCACGTGAAGATTTTGACACGAAGTATGGTTTCTGCTTTTTTTTTTCTTTTTTCTAGGCAAAAAGTCTAAAGTTCTCCCCGTGGGGCTATTCTGCATTTGACCTAAATGTAACACAAACAGTCCACTACAGGCAGTGATCCACCAGAATGACAATATTTTCATATATCAGGCATGGGAATAATAATCAATTCATTCCTAGACTTGTGTTATGTGAATTTAATTGTTGATTGTTTCTTAAATGAGATGTTTTTTGAATGAAATTAGACTGTTTTGCAGGTCTCAAAAATTAAACTAATGTCCATAAAATTGAGCATTTGATTGACCACCATGCAGTTTTACAAACAAATCAAACCTCAAAATCAGCATGTGTCTTATTAAAGATGAATTGTAATGTCACAATTTAAAAGTTGTTGATTCCCGACCAATTACTTATCTTAATACTAATTTTTTGTGTAAACAAATCCTGATTACAGCACGCACGACCTATGAGTGGTTAGATTTAGTACATCCAACCTCAGCTCCGGTCTTGCTGTGTGGACTTTGCATAGTCTCCCCTGTGCTTGCATATTTTTTTTTCCTGGTACTCTAACTTCCTCCCAGGTTCCAAGGACATATATTTGTTTCATTGAAGGCTCTAAATTGTCCATCGGGGTGAATGATAATTTCAATGCTTGAATTAATCAAACTCAAATTGAAATTACAATGTAGTAGAATGCAATTTTCAAATCACAAAGGCTGCAGTCTAAAATAAAAAAGAAATCAATGATTTACGATAGCCAGTATGCTTTTTTGTTTTTTTAAACAGATGTATGTTTATTTATTTAGTGTATACATGAGTTCAGTGCAGTAGACGCATTTACATATTGTTTCATGAAATATGAATAGTTGAGGTGATAAAGCCACAGATTTGTTTGCATCACTGCTGTCATCTGATGTAAGGGTGACTGACTTGTATTTACACCACACTTTTAGAACACTGTTAAGTTGTTACAGTGAACACTTAAGACTGAAACTCAACGTGTGAACAAATTGAACTAGCTACATGAAGTGTCATTCATATTCATTCATTGTTCATTTGCCTTTATTATAGTGCAAGCCAAAGAGAACAAAAGATTTCTGTATCAGTCTGATATTGTTTATTGCAATATAGATTAATTTGTTGCTTGTGTTTGTTAAAAATTACACGGGAATGGCACCTTGAAAAAAATAATCGTATATTATATTGGAAAAAAAGAAATTCCGTTTTTTTTCAAGCCCTAGTTTATACCGTTGCATACCGCTGCCAGATGTACCGCTGCAATTGTCAGCCGACCAGTCCAGGGTGTACCCTGGGTAATGGCCAAAGTTAGCTAGGATAGACTCTAGCTAACGTTAAAATGCTAATGAGGATCAGCGGCATAGAGAACAGATGGACTACTGACGACAAGTCATTCTGCTCTGGAAATGTTGTAACGTGGCTGTTTTGGCTCACATTACCTGCCAAAAATGAGTGTAATGAGTCATTTTACCTCGAAAAGATCAGGTTACTCAACACCCACAAAGCCCCTTTTAGGAAACAATTCACTTTTTTGTTCTTCTGTTGTAGAGCAAAAGCAAAGGCCAGGACCTTTTTGACCAAATCATGTATCACATAGATCTGGTGGAGGCGGATTACTTTGGGCTGCAGTACATGGACGCAGACCAAGTTTCAGTGAGTCCTTGACACGCACGTCAACAACCTTGTTTTTGGTCCGCACTAATTCTCGCTCGGTGCTCTTTCAGCACTGGCTGGATGTGTCCAAGCAAATCAAGAAACAAATCCGAGGTGAGTTCATCCCTCCATTTGTTTTGAAGAATCTTGAAGTGCACTTGCATGTGTAGGGAGCAGGTGGCACATTATCAAACGTGTACAAGGTGATTAGCATTTGGAGCCGTACCCTTGTTTGCTCTCCGATGTGAACATGATACATTCACAAGGGAAAGAGGATGTAAACAGCCTATTTGCAGCCTGCGCATTCGGATGAGATACAACAGCTTCTGTAATCGACAGAAATAGTGGTGTTGGTGGTGGTGGGGGGGGTTATTTACTAACCTGCAGACGATGGCAGGAGGCAGCAATACGACAAAACAATGTGGCAAGTATATTTTAATTTATGTCAAGCGAAACTGCAATTTTAAAGACAATGGTGCCTGGAGATATGAGTTGAATTTGTTCTTTGACCAACACTGATATTGCAAATCATCTGTCCCCATTGAAATGAATTGAAAAGCGAGCAATCCGTTACAGCTCAACAGATTTCCCCAAAAAATATATATGAAGCAAATGTAAAATATATTTTAAAAACATACAGTAGTTACATAATTAAACAGACTGTAAAGAATTAAGCAGGATTTTCCGCAGTTGTGCTGTGCCCTCTGATGTGTGGGCCTGGGCCACCTGGGGCACGGTTCTACAGTAACATGACTGTGTAAGACCACCTGAAATTCACTGACTCTGGCTTGATCGGGCCAGGACACATCTCTTTAATAATTACGATGAAATCAACACATTCTTGCTTTTTAAATATTAAATATTCAATATTTTGAATTGTATTCACCGAGATCGATCAGTCACTTTCACTGAGGTCCTTACTGTGCTGTGCCCATTTTTTTGGACAAGATATAAAGCTCATAAAATGCTAAACGTTAAGTCTCCAGTTAGATTTTATACTGGAAAAAAACCAGATGCTTAATTTGAAATAATCATTGAAACTTTCATTACTAGTGTCGCTTCTAGCAGGACCACCACAACACAGCTCATGGCCCACCCAAATAGGCTGAATGTAGGACCCTGGGGTAACAATATAAAACATACAAATTCGGTTTTCCAAATAGTGTCCAGTGTGTGCATATTCATATCATGTTTGGAAAAGCAAATGTAATACATTACGCTGTTGAGCAATTGTCTTCCTTCTTCTAGATGGTCCGCCATTTCGACTCTTCTTCCGAGTGAAGTTTTACTCCTCAGAGCCAAATAACCTGCGTGAGGAATTCACAAGGTAAGAATAAGAAATCTCTATTGGCATGAGCATGATGATAATGATGATGAGCAGGAGGATGTCCAGCAGGGATGCAAGGCTAATTACTTTGCCGCTATGGGCCGATTGGGGTTGGAAAAAAAAATAAAAAATCCAAATAGACTTTCTAGAGCAACGTGTACTTGAACCGAGCACTGACAATTGTAATACATTCGAAAAATGTATGCTACATTACATTTTTAATCATGTCACTCTCACTGCAGGTATCTGTTTGTACTGCAGCTTCGACAGGATATTTTGTCTGGCAAGTAAGTCTTCCTTGCACATGGAAATGAGTAATCATGATGAACGGTAACATGTTTTATGTTATGAAGGCCATGCATACCACTCTAAATGTGCTGCTGTATCGTCGCACGCAAACTCTTCTAAATGTCGAGTACATTTTATTTATTTTATTGTCATGGAATTAATAAAATGCTCCTTTTGTACTCATACCTGACACACTGTTTTGTACCAGCAAAGGTACTACCATGTATTGCTCGCTTCCAAAGATGCCGAGTCAGGATAAACGACTGCTCGTCACTTAGTCCTGGAGCATATTTGTCATGGTAGCATTGGAGTATGCACGGCTACACCCTGACGTTTCCTATTCCGCTTTCCCTACTTTGCTGCAGCGGTGCGTTTCCTCGCTGCCACTCAGTCTCCTCTCGAATGCTTATTAGCATAGTGAATGCAGGAGAATGTTGATGTCATTTATTGTTGTTGTTTGGATGTGTGTCTTATACTGGCTGTTGTGTTCAATGCGCTGCGGCGTCCGCATTTTCACACAGTAGTATTTGGAAGTGCAGACTGCTCCAGGCATCGACAGTTTTTTAAAAAAAATTCTGTTGTTTAGTCATATTAATACTAATACAGTACTAATTAGCAATACTAATTTGTGGGGCTTTGTAACCTGGCAACTTAAACGCTGGAGGCAAAATTTTTTCAAAAAGTGCTTCGGGAGGACCACACACTTCTGAAACAGTATGATAAAAATGCTGTTTTAAAATAAAGACTAAATATGTCCATACATGCAAGTACGTGCTCTTAATTTGTTTCTTTTGATTATACACTTTTCAATTCATGTTTAAAATCATTCGAAGTAAACGACGACATCATCACATTCTGTAATTATTTTTTTTCTCTCTTGCTTAAACATCGACAGTCAAGGATGGTACAAAAATGACGAACAAGAACCCAACATCAAGCGCAAGAACTCATTTTGTACATTTCACAAAAATCAACTCACTCAACAGGTTATTATTGAGGTCCTACGTTTGTATTCACATCATTCCAAGTCTGCAAAAAAAAATTTTAGGCCTAAGACCCAGTGTAAGCCCAACTAAGACATATCTGTCCTTAAGTGATCATAGGTAATATTATAACTCAAAGCTACTGTCGACCCCTGCAGATTCGCAGTTTGGGCACACCCTGATTCGGATATTCGTGTATTCCCACCTCCGCCTTTTTTTTTCCTCCAATATTTTTTCGGATTTTGGATTATTCTACTTCTCCCTTTCATAACTTTGCTGCTGTAAATTGGGAATTTCTCCATTGTGAGACAAATGAAGGTTTTCTTATCTTTCAAATCACTTTGTATGGAAGACTATGAAAGAGTTGAATGAATGCTATTGCTTTGTTTTGTCATCTAGTGGTGGTTGGTGATATTACAACTTACAACTCAACGAGCAGTTTTGCACTCATAGAACTGCATACATTCTTCTTCTACTTGGGTGGGGGGGTCTTATATTCATATTTTGGGTTCTTCCTTTTTTTTCCTGGGATTTTATTCCCAATTTCCCCTTCTTTTTCATGGAGGAGGGGGGCGTATTTTGGGCATAAATACCCCACTAATTGCCTTTATTTATTGATGTATTTTGACAACTCATCAAGGTGACATTCGGAATGTGGTTGCATGCAGTTTGTTGGCTGACAGTTGGAAATGGAGCGTTTGTTTGACTTGTGGACAGTCGGTGTCTGAGACACACACACACACACACACACACACACACGCACGCACGCACACACACACACACACACGCACACGCATACGCACACACATGCACGCACACGCACACAGAGGCGTGTTGCCCATCTCTATGTTCCAGCTCTATCTGGGCCACAGATCCCCCGAGTGCAGCTTTATTATAACACTCAAGATCAGGATCTGAAGAGGTGATTATTTTGGGAAAGGGGTTGCTTCTCCTTCACACACACACACACACACACACACACACACACGCACACGCATACGCACATTCACACACAGATAATTGTATTTGACTTGGCGAGTGTGTGTGGGGCACTCCCACTGAAAGCAGCTCATCACACCGTTCTTACCCCCCTTTTTCTCCCCCCCTGTCTTCAGATTGAAAAGTCCATATGATGTCTCAGTAGAACTGGCCGCCTATTGTTTGCAAAGTAAGTAGACTTAACCTCCAAGATGATTTCATTCCTTTTGATTTCGTTCAACCAATATTTAGAACGGAATGGAATCGCTTTTGTTACTTGGTAAAAATTTGAGGAAAAAAGATAGCTTTATAGCTTACCAGCGTTTTCACAGTACAGCTTTCGAATGCATTTATAGCTTACCAGCGTTTTCACAGTACAGCTTTCTGAAATATGATTTTTACACCGAACACAACGTTTGCATTACATACCTTAAGTCACATTAAATGACAAAATGATCTTAAGCATGCTTGTGAGCCACACAAGACACACCTGCGCACGCAGAGATCCGAGACAAGAGCTGTATCACGCATTCATGCATTAGTGCTCAATTTTAGTATTGATCATTTTCCCAAAATGTTGCAACCGGTGTGATCTCTCTGTGATGCATTCCACATCCAAACCGCCCCTAAAAAATGTCCAACTCGAAAAGTAAATACTCTAAAACTGACACAATTATGCATACAAACACAATTAGAATTTCTATCAATGAATAATTCCTCGGCAGTGACGATACAAACCGGACTAAATTGATCTTAATAAAGGATCAGGATGCAATATTATTGAGTCGATTGGTGGTGCAGAAGTGACTGTTCCTCCAAGAGATTGAAGCCAAAAGGACCGCAAACGTGGTTTGTTTGTTTGCTGAAACCGCTTTGGAAGAGATCGAGAAACACTGATCTATAGTGATGAAGCTCATGTATTTGGGTGGCCAATGAGTGAATATGAGCTTGTGTGCTTATTGTTTAGGTTGTATTGAAATGCTCGGTGTCTCCTTGCTCTCCTCTCGTTTTCATAGTTGTGTTCCTTTTTTTGGTATGTCCAGGTGAGCTGGGAGACTGCGATCCCTTGGATCACTCTCCCGTGCTGGTGTCGGAGTTCCGCTTCACTCCGAAGCAGAGCGAGGCCATGGAGGCTGACATCTTCACCAGGTGGCTGGATCTCAGGTGAGAATGAAGCCGTTTCAGCGTCAACGGCGGCGGTGACTTGTTGCCGTTTTCACCTCCTCCTCCTCCTCCGCCAGTCGCAGTCACTTAGCTGGCCACACTCTCGCTGGTCTGTGTGAAGGATTAAGGGGGATTAATCCGAGGAGGGTCTTGATTGATTCTGGGCAGCATTTAACCACAGTGGCGGTCTGATCGCTCCCATCTGGGATTAGGTTACATATACTGTAATTTCACTGAACCCACTGGGCCACACAAGGACAAACGGACACCCATCACCAGCGCGTTATCCAACGTATTTTTGTGATGTTAAAGCCCACGTCTCCTTCTCAGGGGCAAGAGTCCGTCACAAGCCGAAATCTCCTTTCTCAACAAATGCAAGTGGCTGGAGCTTTACGGTGTAGATATGCACTTTGTTAAGGTGCGTCTCAAACATTTATCGATTTCACGCTCGCTGTGTATTCTTGAGTGTTAAATGTGCACGCGGTGTCATCAGGGAAGAGACGGTTGTGACTACGCGCTGGGTCTCACTCCTACTGGCATCCTGGTGTTTGAGGGTTCCCACAAAATCGGGCTCTTCTTTTGGTAAGACTTCTTGAATCATGTTCCTATGTGCACTCAAAGTGGTTGTGATTCATAAGCAAAATGTCAAACATTTATGCGGGGTGTCCCCTGCTGCTTTTTCCGCTCTGCTGTTCGAGCAATTTAAATATCAAGACATTTGATGAAGTCGCAAGTACCGCACAGGCCATGTTTTAATCGGCATTTTCGCATCGTTGATTGTCACGTTGGCGTTGAATGAAGTTATACAAGTTTCAAACTCGTTTCACGGCTCTAGCAAAAAAAAAAAAAAAAATCGCATCATGGACTACAGCCAGCCAAAAGCGGAGCTTCTCGCACCTGCTGATGTGCGCCTCAAAAGTAAACAAATAGCTCAACACAGCATGGCTGGAGCATTCATGCACTAACATAGGCTGCAGAGATTGAGATTGCTTTTATTGTTTGTTTTTTTTTCACCCAGTGGTGACTACAATGGCGCCTTGGCAGTGGCATTTTACTTGTCCAAGGTGACTTATTTACTGTCTGGCTTAAAACGATGACATAAATAAATGTTATTTTTATGCATAGTATTTTATTTATATAATTTGTTGAAGAATTTTATACTATGTATTTTGTGGGACACCTTTGATCAAACAATACATGATTGAATTGCGTTTCCTAGAAGTGTAAATATGGCTTAAAAAAAATTGTGCAATCTGTCATATTTAGGCCCAAAATCACACGTCTGGACTTCAAAAAGAGTCGACTCACTCTGGTGGTCGTGGAAGATGATGAGCAGGTTTGTGTCTGCAAGCAAACACATGCACACCCGCGCACGTGCACACACATCCCAATGAGGTCAGTCTTGGCCGGACTACAAATGGACATATTTTTTTCCGCTTTGAAGGGCCGCGAGCAGGAGCACACGTTTGTGTTCCAGCTGGCCAGCGCCAAGAGCTGCAAGCATGTGTGGAAGTGCGCCGTGGAGAGCCACGCCTTTTTCCGGTTACGCCAGCCAACCACGGGCAAGCCAGGCCGCAGCGACTTCACGCGACTCGGCTCTCGCTTCAGATTCAGGTAGCGCTCATCACTCGCCTCGTTACCGAAGTGACGTGACGTCGTGAGAATTTAGCAGGAAATTGCAGACAAAGTTTGATACTCATTTACCAGAGAGAATCTATTTGACATCACCAAAGCAGATTAAGAGAACATAAACGAAAACCTCTTAAGGTTAAGATAACCTAAAAACTGGATTTCTTCGAATTACAACGTATTACTTTTGAAATGGAATCCAACTAAAGTTACGGGTTTGAGGTTTGCTGTGAACAAAAATGGAGAAATAGCAGCAAGTGGTTGGAGAGATACTCGTCTGCATGCTGGCTACTATCAAAGGGCCCTTGAGCAGGGCGCTGTAGCCACCCCGCAGCTCAAGTAGTGCCGCGGTGTTTGCGTGCCTCTTTCACTCTGAATTTCTTCTTGCATTCCTGCTTGTGCGTCATCTGGTTCACCTTGTGGTATAAAAAACAATTATACAGCAGTGTGTAAATTGATTTTGTTCCCCTCAAAGATATTATCACGAGTACAATAGATCAAATTACATTAAAAAAAAAAAATTCTCCTGAGAACAGAATTATCAAAGTAAGCCAGTAGCAACAAACAAACCAAATGATGTGTGCATTGTGTCTATGGTTACTTCGTATCTATGGTTACGTGGAGGTGTTCCTATGGCGACCGAGATATGCCCTTCATATTGTTTTCCTTCTCACTTTTTATGAAAGCAACTACTCTCACTTGATGGGCACTTGCTGTTATTTTTAAGAGCGGTGTCACAGAGCGCACCCGAGTCACAAGATTTCTTCTTACAAGGTAGCAGCAACATCTTTGGTGAAAGAGATTCATAAACCCGATTAAATTAGCGGCCCTATTCACTTCAGTCGGAGTGTTGTGACTGAGGATAATTCATCACTTTAAATGACAATGGCGTTTTCATTCAGTTTGGGCGCTAACTACATTTCCAATCTCCTAATCCATGATCTGTAGCTGCAGTTGCAGCAATAACAAGCAATCAAAAATCCCTAATTCCTGTCGCCTGTCAATCTCAGCGGTAAAACGGAGTACCAGGCGACTCACGGAAGCCGGCTAAGGAGAGCCAGCACGTTTGAGAGACGGCCAAGCAAACGATACCCCTCCCGCACACAGTCACTGGGCAAAGGTGAGTCTTATCTGTGCACACAATTGCGCACATACAACCCTGTGGACTTTAAGAACCTGCGACACGCCTCTGAGTCATAGTTAACACTTAGCTTCTATACACTCATCAACCACAACGTTATGTAGACTTGTACAATTAAATGAGAACCGTTCATGTATCTTAACAAATGTAATAATGCATCAAGTTTTGATTGACACTGTCGAGGCGCTGTTAACTTAATGAATGTTTATTAATGCGGTTGTGGTTTGCAATGGGGTAAAACTGCACTCCATCACAACAGAGTTCTCATTTTGGATTTTTCGTTTTTGTCAGTTTTTACTTTTTGACTTTTGTTGTTTAAATTCGGTTAGTTTTAATTCATTTTTAGAGCAGGTTTTTATGTTCATGAAACAGACCTGGATAAAAATGATGGTACCCTCAATATTTTGTTGTACATTTGAGGGAATTACTGCAATGAAAAGATTTTTTTTTTGTAACGTTCATTGAGAGTTCTGTACATTTGACTTGATATTTCCTATGCTGATCTCAGCACATTTTGTGACTTTTTCCCTCCTTGTGTTTAGAGTATTTGTCATGAACGTTATCAGGGAACACATTTTAGTCCCGTCCCCACTCTCTGAAAGCATCATTTTCAATACACCCCTTGTATTGGATCTCATTATAGTGTGGATGTAAAAAAAAAAAAAAAGTCTGCTGTTTGTATAACCATAATTCCAAGACAATCGTTTTGAACAAAGAAGAGGAAGCGCTGCGGCGGCGTCTTGAACTTATCAGTTCGCAGGTTCGTTTGAACAAACCGCCTCCCACTATCGCGTCCCACGCTAGCTGATAATTTACCTCGATAGCTTCAACAAAGTACCTCACATTCCCACCGTTTAAGACTTGAAGCGCCACTTTTCGACTCTTTTCGACACTCTGTTGACGTCAGTGAGAAAACATGGTGACATAGAGTACATGCACTTGTTCGTTGTTAACATCGTGTGTGTGTGTGTGTGTGTGTGTGTGTGTGTGTGTGTGTGTGTGTGTGTGTGTGTGTGTGTGTGTGTGTGTGTGTGTGTGTGTGTGTTGCCGTCATAGTTGCTGCCATTTCTCCAGCCAAGCCGCCACACATCAGGTAATACCGAAAAACCCACACGAATGCTATTATATGGACATGGACTTAATATAAGTGCTGACTGTGATATTAACAGCCTGAACAGCTTGAAACTTTTTTTTTTTTGTTTCATGGCAAAACATGATGTGTTTACCAAGCACTTCCTTCCTTGGATTTCTCTCCTCACCGCTTGCCCACCTCAGATGACTACGCTTGCGCCACTCACAAATTTGATTGGCTGAGTCGTGTCATGTGGGTGGAGTTACAGTGCCCATGATTGGTCGGTCTGTCGTGCGCATACATGGACTACTTTAATGAGCTTAAAAGATGACATGAGGCTGCTAAGGTTAAAATAAGTCGAGTGTAAATCACCCCCCCCCCTTGCAAGTTAAATAAAAGCAAGCACAAATCACACAATGATCTCGTAATACGTCTGGGTCTGTATCGAGTCCATCTATTGAGGACCTTCGCTGCAGATGATACAAGGACGTCTTAACTGTACATGAAATTAAAGTATGAAAGTTAATCTGCGATTGCTGATTGTTTTCATTCTTTCTCTGCCAGCCCTGATCCCAGCCTTCATGCAGTGAGTGACCTCAGAAGATCTACTTACACACACACACACACACACACACACACACATACACACACGCACACACATACACACACGCACACACACACATACCCAGACTGTCAAGTAGTGCGCAGGCCTGGCTTCGATGCGAAACATTTCATTTTCGGCATCTCTTCAATCCTCTCCAGTACCAACACAACATCCCGGTGGCGGGTCACGAGGCATGGCGCCTGGCCCACCCCGCATACACGCCCTCCGTTTACCTGCAGCCCTCCGGACACACGGCGCCGCACAGGTAGGACGGGGGCAGGGACCGCCGTAAGGCAACTGGGGAATGTCAATTGGCCGGCACCATTTTTTTTAGTACAGGGGTGGGGAAACTTGCCCGACGGCCACATAAAATTTTAATTGGCCGGTTGGGCTAAGTCATTTGTAGATGGGGTAAGAATGCGTAAAAGAGTTTCTTTTTTTTGTCAAGTAGTAATTCTATTTTTTCAGTTTGATGATGGTTTTTATTTACATTTTTTTACATGATACTTTGTAAATAATTCAAATTATTATTAACTTTGTTGCTTGCATTTGATTTTTCAAAACGGGCAGGCGGTCCAGGTCATTCACAGGTGAAATGGAAATATGTAAAATCCTTTATTTTGACAATAAGATAATTAATTCTTTTAGTTTTAGTATGTCGAATAAAAGTAATCAAAATGAATTAACATTTTGTGATTATTTTAAATGATTTACTCTTTTTTTATTATTTATAATAGCTCAAACAATTTATTGGGGTGAATGCAAAAGAATGATTCAAATGTGTGTGTAAAAATTCAATCTCATTTTTAAATTGTGCTCATCATAATTTAATTAGAATTATTTAATCACATTAAAAACATGTTAATATATTAAATATATGGATACAGTACATAAAATTGTCTAAATTTATGACAGAGTTTTTATTCGTTAAAAAAAAATTGAAAATTCGGGCCATATTTTTGTTCTAGTAGCTTCAGGAGGGCTCTCCTGCAGGGCAGTTTTCTGTTTTCATATACCATCGTATCTGTGTTTTCATCTCACTTCATGTCATACATCTCATCCAGTCTGTACGTGTGTGTGCTTGCCCTGTGTGTCCATGTGTCCGTGTCCATGCGTGTGGGTTCAGGCCTTCTGTCGGGGCCTCTTCCTCGTCTACCAGTCCCGTGTCCGGTCACCCCGTCATCCCGGAACGAACCAGCAGCTTGCACCATGCGCCCATCATCAGTGTCATGCACATGGACAAGGTCATGACTACACTTTGACCTCTACTCTGACCTTGGACTTACACAAACTGCCCATTAAAAAAGAACAAAAAAAAAAGCAAGAATCTCTTCCTCCTCCTCCTCCATTATTCATCACATCTCCACATTGTGGGTCCAGTAGACGCCTCTAGAATGTAACAAGTCGAGCTTAGTTTGCTTGTAAATGGTTCGATTATATCCCATGATATATTTGTTGCTATGGGCTTAAGGAAAAAAAAACTGCTTTATGGTTTCTTATAACAGTGGTGGGGAACCTATGGCTTGTGGGCCATACGCGGCCCTGGAGAGCATTTGGTCAATGGAGAGCGATGTTGTTAGACTATGAAATGGAATTATGTTTTTTTTGGAACTCCAGACATCATTTGAAATGTGAAACATTAACAAATATATTTACACTTGAAAATGTTGTTAGACTATGAAATGGAATTACGTTTTTTTTTTTGGAACTCCAGACATCATTTAAAATGTGAAACATTAACAAATATATTTACACTTGAAGAGACAAAAAGCACAGCTAATGCTTTTTACAGTATCTTTTGTGCAATGACAGACCCAAACTTGACTTCTAACGCATACAGAATTACGATCAGCCAAAATGTGCTTTTCACGTCGACAGATTATTTTTGAGTGAGAGTTATTTTTTGATTTTATTTTTTTTACACTGCACACAGAAGATACCATTTTCAAAAGTATGTGTACAATGGGTCTCCAGAGGACTGAAATGGCCCCCTACCGAATAAAAGCTTCCCCACCCCTGTTTTGCATTTGCATTTGTCTCTCTTTGCTGCGATTGCAGGAAGCAATTAAATGACAAAAGTGCTTGAATAGCGTCGTTTTCCAGAGGTTATAAGGGTCCAAACATGCATATACTGTATGCTGCTTTAGGGGTGCTGCGTGTTTGTTGTTGCTTCATGCCATTATATAGTTCACCATGACATTATGAATGACAGTTATTGATTACCAACCTGCTGTTTACATGTACCGTAACAATAATGTGGTTTTGCTGTGATAGTGGGCGGAGCTGGAATCCCATTGTGGCTTCATAAATGAATAAATGGGCTTTTGCCATATTGCTTATAAAATCAAGAAAATAAAATCAAGAAATGAATGAGTTTTCATGTTGTGTATCATGTACTGTGTAATGTGAAGGAATTTAACAAGTTGGAAACTTACGATGGGAATAATTGAGAATTTTCAGCAATCAACAGGAATGAGTTGGAAATTTTATGGAAAGAGAAACAGATTGCGCAATCCAGTTGTGATGTCAAAAAAAAAATATATGTATATATATATAAAAAATCTTTTAGGCGGGATTGATTGCTTTTGATGTGCTGTTTCGTCCTCAGCTTCCCTCTGAGCGGTCCCGCCTCCGACCATCAGCTCAGTGTGGAAGAGAACGAGACGTCATATTCCGGAAAGGTCAATCGCCGTCACCGCCGCCACACGCACAGCCAGGACACGCTCTGCCACACACACAACAAAATCAGTGAGTACAAAAAGGCCACGATGCAAGTTTGCGAAACTGCTTGTTATGCATCCAGAATTTATGTGCCATCAGTCTTCACAATGTACTTGATAGACAAGTCTTCCGCTTCAGTGGATATTTCACTCCCATTATACAGTTTAATGCAGTGGCCTCGTTCCTTGTAAATCGAGTCACGGATGACAAGGTACAACTGCAGTTACGAATCTCATTTCCACGTTGTGTTGTAATACACCAAGCCTCTATCGTGAATGTAAATGGTCCACACAGCCTTGCTCAAATCCCAGGTTTGTGTGAAATAATTTCCAAACATATGACGCCATTAATGTGCCTCGACATACAACTAAGTTGGTGGGGGGGAAAAAAGTGAAATCTGTTCAAGAAGGAAAGTAAAAATTGTAAGTCAAGGCTTCCCATAGCCCAGACATCCATCCAGGAAGAAGATGGCCGATTGTTGTGACATGTACAAAACAGCCAATTACTTGCCAGAAATTGCTGCAACGGCATCGATGCGGCTGTCGTCCTCTTGGCATCTTCCCTAACCAGTTTTCTTCTCGTCTTTTTCTCCATTTTTGGAGCGACGTCCAGTTCTTAGTAATGTCACTGCTGTGGCATATTTTCACTACAGTATTTGATGAAGCTTGTCTTAATAATAATAAAATCCCTTGGATTCGATTGAAGTTTTCTGCGGACCATGGCTTGTGCTGTAAGATGCGACGGCAAAAATGTCAGGAAAAGACTGAGAACAGCTGAACTTTATTTGGGCGTTTTAAATGGTGGTGGGAAATGACTTATGTTCTTCTGTTGAATGAATGGAAGCAAGTGGATGTACAGCTTTATTGTACCTTAAACCATCCCATGGAGGAGGATTTTATTTTTCTGCCTCTCAGATCCATTGTTGAGCAAAGATATTTGTATTTAAGGAATAATGTCTTGGGGATAAACTGAGTAAAACCTGCTAGTAAAAACGCATGAATCCTAATTGGACAATAATTTTTTTTAAATGGTAAAAAGTTACTATCTTTATACGTCTGTGGTAAATCTCCACACGGGATCTGAAGAATTAATCGAATTTAAATCAACATCGCACTGTAGTAGGATATAATTTAAAAATGGCAAAGGCTGCAATTTGGGAGTGGAAAATACTTCATTTCAGTCACAGTAGTTTTTTTTTTTTTTAAATATGTATGTTTTATGTATTGTTTATATCGTGTCTGGCTAAATTCACTGCTTCAGAAATGCAGCCCACACTCCACTGCTCCACATTTACATATTGTTTTATGAAACGTGGACGTGATCATAGCCACAGATTAGTTTGCATTATTGGTGTCACCTCATTTGCTGACTTTGTCTTTAGGCCGCACTTGTTTGGTAGAGTTTTATAAAGTTGTCATCGCGAACACTCAAAAGACTTCAAGTCGGTGTTAAACAACACAAATTAAAGTCGATAATCAATCTTTCATATTTAGTCACCATTCATTTGCCTTTCATTTAGCATACGCCTAACCTATAAAACCAAAACAATAATGTTCAATAATTCTGATATTCTTGTATTTTGTACTCAACACTAGACGACCTAACGTGTTTTTTTTTTTTTTTGACTCTGCTCAGAGTGTCGAGCATCACCTTGTCTCGGAGGGGAATTGGACATGTCTCCTTCTTTCCGCAAGGCCGTGGAGTCAGACAGCGAGTGTCCTGCGTGGCCCTCGCTCTGCATCAACATAGACAACAAGGTCAGACACATTTCCACACGCTGAATTTCTTCCTCTGCTGATAAGATGAGACGATTCCGGTCTGGCTTCATTCTCTTCCTCTTGTTCCTCTTCGATATGTGACGTCTACAGGGAGAAGAGAAGCAGCTCTCGGAAAAGTCTCTCCACCCCTCTACCGCCTCCTCCCCGGCCCTGCTTCCAGACCACCTCAAGTGTAACATTCTTAAGGCCCAGATGGAGGCGGCTTTCAGGGTGGGTAACATACAGCACGTGATTTCCGGATAGTATTCTCTTCGTAATGCTTTTATTTGCACGTTTGGATCTTTTTTTTTTTTTTTTGCCTCCAAATAGGATGGTCCACTCAGTCCAAGAGCGAAGAACTCAGATATGCCGCTCACGGACAGGCAAGTTCTCTCCTTTTTTTCTCTTGCTCTTTCTTGCTCGATGCTTGCTCCCAAAGTGAAAGTGAAGCTGCATCAAGTGCATACTGACTTTTAAATGAACCGACCTTATCTGTACTGATCAGATACTGGACCTAATGACCATGGCACAAGCATAGATTAAGAATTCAGTGGTTCTTAACCTTGTTAAAGGTGGTAAGAATCACTCTGTTAGGTTAATTGAAGACTCTCATTTCTCCATAGGCATAGATGTCAGTGTCAATGCTTGTTCGTGCATACGTTTCCTGTGATTGAAATTTAAAAATCATTTGCGATAGGCTCTGGCTCACCCGCAACCCTAATGAAGATGAGCACTCGAAAATGAATGGATGTTTGGTCAATATATCCTCAAATGCTGTCAACAGGTACCAGAGCTCCTCTCAAGACTCATCAGCGTCCAGTTTGCCTGCAGACAAAATGTTGCAGAGACCGGATGTCCGTTTTGCGTCCGAGAGTCTCCATTCTAAGTCCGGCCTGAGCACCAACCGCAGGAAACGTCTCGTCAGACAGTTCAGCTTGTGAGTTCACATCGCACATGTCACTCGAGTGCACTTGAGCCTTCATGCAGGGGCACTTGAATCCTGTCTGTGCTTCTTCCATTGTTTTTTCAAATGGAAATGTATTAATGGATGATTCATTTGAAGACTCAAAGAGAAAAAGGTCCACATGTAGTTTTAGAAATGTTATTCTTTAGGCATCACACAATCAAACATTATATAAGCTCTCAAAAGGCAGTTTTAAATGCATTTAGTCGAAACAAATTTCCTTCATCCACTCACTAAGAGATTTTTCTGAATTAAAAACAGTAGTTTGACAACACAGCAACAGATTAAGCTAATCCTAAAATGCTGCAGTCCAATAAATTAAAAAAAATAAATATAATGTATCTTGGTGCGGTGACTTACATGGACAAGTTTAATTTTTGATTTTTTTTCTCCTTTTTTTGTAAAATAAGAAACAAACATTTTTTAGGAAGCACATTGGTTTATTTAATTGATTTGGTAAAAATGAATTGTTATGCTAGCAGGCTAGCACTAGATAAAGTATTTTAAATCCCTTGGGTTTTTTTGTTTTGTTTTTGTTTTTATTTTTGCTCCGCAGTAACCATGAGGATGAAGACAACCTTCCAGAAGCTCTTGCAGCCATCTCCTGTGAGAGCACAGCCAAGTCGGGCTCCAGTAGTTCACTGGACAAACAGATCCAGCCCTCCATTTACCCACAGGTAACATATACATGCAATTAAACGCAAGTTACGAGAAATTCATGGAGGAGAAAGTATGAGGAATGTCTGCGTGTGTATGCGTCCATGTGCATTCCAGGTGGACAATGTGCCAGCACTGGAAGTGGCTAGTTCATGCTGTGTGTCCCCTTTGCCTTCTCCCCACCTCTCTCCTTCGTGCTACTGTAGTCCCCTCCCTCACTTGGTCCCTTATCTCGCGGCCCATCACGACAGGTAACACCCTCGTCCTGTCATTCGCTTTGGGGACACTTTGTGTTGGACCCAACACAGTATGTCAGTATTCTTGTTATCCGAATTAAAAGCCCATGTACTCTTTGTACACTATTTGTCCTCAGTCTTAAGACAATTCAGTGCGTCGTTGGAACACGTACGGCACAGTAGAACAACCATGTATTGCTAGTAATGGTTTACTTAGAGGCACCTATTCTCTGGAAAAAAAAAATGATACTGCAGTTTGTCGTAGTTGTAAAACTATTCTGTCTCCCCGCCTGGCTGTATTATACTGCCCTCTGGTGGCCATGTCACACACACCAGAAGGAAAGCCAATGAACTAATCATGATGTATAAACTGTTTAATTTTTTAATTTTCTATGTAATTATGTTAATGCAGTGTTTAAGACATTATAGAAATGTCATACAGCAGTGGAAGGCTGGGGTGGAGAAATGTCTCTCGTAAAACAGTCATTCCACCCGTGCTCTGAATTGTCTTTGTGAAGTCAAAGAGCTTACTCGAAGTCAATGGACCTGAATCTGACTTTTAGGGATATCGAATACTTGGTGAGGTGTGATGGAGTGAACTTAATGTTTGCAGAAATTCATTGTACAAAGTAGATCTACCTAATCTTGTCTAAAATACCCGTTTCATTCAGTAATAAGAAAATAATCTAATTATAAATCCTGTGTGCGTGTGCGTGTGTGTGTGTGTGTGTGTGTGTGTGTGTGTGTGTGTGTGTCTGTGTGTGTGTGTGTGTGTGTGTGTGTGTGTGTGTGTGTGTGTGTGTGTCTAGTGGAGAGGACGTGAGGGCGGACAGAGAGAAGCTCCTGAGAGCCCTCTTGATGACCGAGCTCTGAGAGCGCGCCACTTGACGCCCTGACATGGAAGAGGAAGACTGAAAGGCGTCGGCTGCACTCCTCATTTTTGTGTATTTTAGTTCATTTAATTTTATGTTATATTTGCTGAAGAAGGCTCACTTTCTACTCCAACAGACACAATAGACGATATATAAACTTTCAGATGGAATCCGAAGTGGCTTAAAGCAACAAATGGGACTGGAACTGCCTGCATTAGAACAACTGTACACAACAAAGGGTCTTTTATCTTGACTTTTATCGCAAATTTTTCAACAACTTGAATGTACTTCACTTATTCTAAGGGAATAACACCTCAGTTCTTTCTGAGGCAGGAGATGGAAGTTTGATCAAACATACATTATGTATTCAGTTCAACCTTTGTCTTCTGTGTATGCTCTATGGACAAAAATATTGGGACACCCGGTTATTACATCTCTATCTCAGTTCTAGTTCATCCCAATATCCATCCATCCATTTTCCGATCAGATTTATCCTCACAAGGGTCGCGGGGGGTGCTGGAGCCTATCCCAGCTGTCTTCGGGCAGTAGGGGACACCCTGAATCGGTTGCCAGCCAATCGCAGGGCACACATAGAGGAACAACCATTCATGCTCACAATCACACCGAGGGACAATTTGTGTTCCATTAACCTGCCATGCATGTTTTTGGAATGTGAGAGGAAACCGGAGTACCGGAAAAAACCCACGCAGGCTTGGGGAGAACATGCAAACTCCATACAGGAAGGCCGGAGGCGGAATCAAACCCTGCACCCCTGCACTGTGAGGCGGACGTGCTGCTCTCATCCCAATATGACTTCTTCAAATTAATCCAAGCATGCCTTTTTTATGGACCTCACTGTGGACTGGGGCATGTTCAGAAATGAACAGAAAAGAACTTTCCCAAACTTGTCGCAGATTTTCAGTTGTCCAAAACGTCTTGGGACTTGGGGGTATTGTCCAATACCCTGATTGATTATTTCAATCATGGGAAATTTAAGTGCAAGCCTCTTTGTGCAGATTGTGTTGCATGCTCCTTTTAAGCAAAAAAAAAAAAAAGTGTGCACTTGATTCTTTAAAATGTACTTCTTCATTTCATGTTTTATTTTTTTTTGCGCTCAGAAAGTCAAGGTAATTTTTAATGGGAAACTGCCCATGCAAGTACCACATTATTCATTTGTTGGTTTGTTTATTAAGAATTGAAGGAGTAATTTAAGTTATTAAAGTATATATTAATTACTTGGAATGTTTCTGTCAAATGTCGAGTGAATATTTAAAGCCATCGTTAAAAGAAAAACTACCTACAAGATATGTAAAAGGTATTGCAAGACAATCCAATGACATTAATGTGTTTACGTATTTGAGAAACGTAACCCCTAAAAAAAAAAGAGTTACTGACGTTATAGAATAAACAACCAAACAAAAAAGTAATGTCATTGATCACAATCATGTTAAGGGGGATTTAAAATAAACAATCTCTCATACAGTAGTCATTTGTTGTCATTTCTATTGTCTAAGTTAATAAAAGCTGAAATAAACGTTAATCCTAGTTTCAAATTTTAATGATGGCTTTGCAAGACAATAAAACGTTACTGAGAATAATCAATCAAATACGCTATGCTGTTCATTGGCATTAATCCAAAGGTTCTTTTTTTTAATCAAATTGCTGTCTTAAAGTGCCCACTAGGAGGCGACAAATGTGCTCCGTTGGCAGGCGAGTACGGCAAACTGTACTCTAGGGCAGGGGTCCCCAACCGCCGGTCCGCGGACCGGTACCGGTCCGCCGGGCATTTGGTACCGGGCCGCACAGAAAGAACTTGCCTTAATTCCGTTTTATTTATTTCGGAATACGAAAGATGTTTTATTTTGAAAACTTACCGGATTCTCCGTTACATCCGTCTGTGTCCAGCTTGACACACGTCAAGCCACGCTTCTCCGTAACGCGACCAATTAGGCTAAAAACAAACACCGGAGCTCGCAAAATGAGTAAAAAAACTGCTGGAGATCGCAAATGACGGCGGCCTTAAAAGTACGTTCGAGACAACTGCATTAAAGTTATGTCTGAATACTCTGAGATCGCCACAATAGCACTTTTGCTATTTCCGACATCCTACCTGTGTGAGGCGCGGGGGAATTATGCAGCAACGGCGACGAAAACAAAATTACGAAGTAGACTGGACATAAACCACACACTTGCGGTGTCATTGTCTCTCCTATTACCCCGAGATGGGACCGTCTGGTTGCAGAAAATCAAGCTCGGTGCTGTGGTGAGTCGTCATTTTCATGCACTTTGAATTTGCGTTGTATCGAATTTTGAAGGCATTAAACATTGCCATAGCGTTGCGGCCAGATTAGACGCTCCTTGTGTTTATTATTATATTTCGAAAACACCACAGTTTTCATGCAGCTCATACCATATTATTTTGTTGTATTATTTCCGCCACACCTTAAATGCCGGTCCCTGAAAAAATTGTCTGACATAAACCGGTCCGTGGGGCAAAAAAGGTTGGGGACCCCTGCTCTAGGGTGTCGTCGTTTAGCGGCGTTGACGTCACCCGAATGTGGAAGTCAGGACCTTCGCAAAAGCAATTATCCTAGCCTGGATTCAGAGCTGACTTTATCGAAAAACAACCACGCACATCTTTGGACAATACAATTCACATAAGAAACCTAACACGTTTTTGGAACATGCAAAGTTAATTTCGCACAGGAACACCGGAGCCCAGATTCAAACCAAGAACTTGAGAACTGTGAAACAGCCTTTTGCTAACCACGTGGGTCGCGCTGCTTGCTGATGCTACGGGCCAATCAGTTATGATGAGATTTGAGTGGGATTTACCACCACTATCACGTCACAATATCGAGCCTAAGTACTAGTCTATGCAAAAATGCGATATCAGTAAATAAAAAGCAATATTTATCAAATTGGATAAAAAAAATTAAAAATATAAAATACATCACGCTCTCCTGTGCTACTGATGATTAAATGTGTTAGTTGAAATGTCCAGATCGGAAAAGGCTGGGTTTTTTTTTACAATCGATGTCAGTTGTAACCACTGAGCAAACAATCAGAGGACAGTTAAATGTTGACGTTATTGTGAGGATGAATTTTAAATTTGATTGCTTAAAGAACCAGCCCCATCGTCAGTATACTGTCGTTTAGCTACGTCTGATTCGACGTCCGCGCTGGGCAGAATAGAATAGAATGGCATGGCAACAGTAAAGGCTGTAACCTGATTGGATGCGAGGAAAAAAAAACCTGCCGTCCGCATACACATACATTACTGGAAGCAAGGAAGCCAAGAGAAATGCTACCAGATCTGGAAACAAATGAATACATTCACATGGAACAAATAATGTAATAAAACGTCGGTCTGTGTAATGCCGTCATCATTTTGGCATGTTTTATATTTTCCCACGGCCAAACATTTACCTATTGTTGCTGTTTGTGTTGCTGTTAAAACATCCTGATGTCTAATTGTTCTTGTGGTCATCAAGTCATTATGCTAAGAACTGCTTGGGCATAGAATCACGCAACAACGCCTCCTTCTCCTTCCTCTTTGTTCACGAACATCCACATCAAAAACATGAGTTATTATACAATTTTAAATGTGTAGCCCCTCACGTCACATCACGGCGCGACACGTTACCCATCAAGGTGAACCAAACATAAACCACGTCATCACGATTTTGAAAAGAGCATGGGAGCATTTGTGGTGTACAGTATGTGTGTGTGTGCGTGCGCGCGTTTGCAATGACATGGGAATGTGGATCAGCCTCGCCCTGCGTGTGTGTGCGTGTGCGCGCACGTGTGTGTGCGTGTGTGCGTGTGTGTATGTGGCTTACCCGCCCTGTGAGGGAATGCTGCCTTTATGGAGAAGAATATAACTGATTTAGCTGCCCCCCCACACCTGTCTGTCAAGTATATCAAGCAGTGAATGATGCCGCAATTGCTGTGTTGTGAGGATTCGGTAAAAAGGAAGGCCTTTTACGACGTACTTTGCATTACATCCATATCGGAGGCTCCTTATAGCCATGCACAAAAACACTTACTAAAAAATAATCAAATGTTCGCTTGGGATGTATTTATAACATTTGGTTCTCGAACCTTTTTAATTAACCACAAGATTCATAATTGGATGCCTCAGGCTCCTCTTGATAAGGAGGTAGAAACGTATGATTTCTCCCAGCCAATCAAAGAGACGATGAAGGAAAAGTACCTTTCTTCCTGCTCACTATAATGATAACAACCCTATTATTAAAATGATGACAAAGCCTGAAAAAATGACAAAAGCTCATCATGAAAATCTGGAACCATGTGAATTCCACCAGCTAAACAAGCAAGAAGAAATACGCCAACAGTTTATCTTGGGTCGCGTCACCGGAGTAGCAGCTTTAGCAATGAAGCCAAGACTTCTCTCCCGAGCCACTTTGCCAAGCTTTTTCCTGGGGAATCCCAAGGAGTCCCCTAGCCAGCTGGGAGAAATTGTCTCTCCAAGGTTTCCCGTGTCATCCCCAGGGCCTCCTCCCGGTGTGACGTGCCTGGAACACATCACCAGGGAGGCGTCCAAGAGGCATCCTAATCAGATGCCCGAGCCACTTCCTATACCTATAATACCCCCCAAAATGATAAGGGATAAATAAAGAAAAAAAATGTTGGATTTTTTTTCAATTTGGGGGAAAACACAGAGATGGAGAGATGCTTTTGATTATGTGGACGACATGATGTCGCGGTGTTGCGTGTGGGATTCAGCGGGAGTGTTTGATGGGGTTGAGCACGCAGGGTGGGGTGCACGCTCATATTAAATTACAACAATGGCACATCTTCCCTGAGGGGCTGTGACATGCTTTTTGTCTGCTTTCCTTCTTTCTTCCCCTTTTCCTGTTCTCGCCATTCATTCTCTCTGTGGAAAAAAAAACACCCCTAGAGTGTATGTATGTGTGTGTGTGTGTGTGTGTGTAATCACCGGGGGACCATGTGAGGGAGTTTCCAGTCTCGCCTTCGGGCCACTGCGTTGTGACCCCCTCTTATAACACAACGTGAATAATGCTAGTCAGAATTGTGCAAATTTCATATGTTTATTTTTCAGCAAGACCTTCCAGTCCCACTACATACACAAAACATCAAGTCACAATGTAAATGTATTCAATCTGCATCTATAGTTTCTGTTTATTCAGCAGCCTTTGGTAGAGAAATGTCTCATAAGATGATTCTTTTCAAGCTTCACTCCGTTAAGATGAGATGCTGACAAAAGTCCTCTTGGTGAATGTAACCATGCGTTACGGTTACAAACAACCGGAGCTCTGCTTTAATCCCCCAACAAAAGGCACAACAGCATTGGCAACAAATTATGTAGGGCACACTCCAAATCAAATGAGCCACTGAGAACAAGAGTGGTCTAACAGCATTTTGGTCATGTTTGAGATAAGTGCAAAAAATGAAGAGCAAAAAGGCATATCTTTTAGATCCATACACATGAATAAGTTACAAATTTGACATATAATATGCAGTCCATTATTGCAGTCAGAACTTTTATTTTATTTTATTTTTTAGCTTGGGTGCTATTGCCTAAACGTAAGAATTACAAGTTGTGTATTTAACCAAACATGAACTTTATCTAAGTCTGCGATCCTTGATGCTAACGCGCAATGCAGAATGACACTGATGGGCTAAGAAAAGCAGCATTAATGTCGCGGTAATTAGAAACCTTTGACCGACTGATATCCGAACACAAGCGTCAACCCATGCAGTGCGTACAAGAATACTCCCAGGCATACATTCTTTATCCTCTGCAAAAAAAATCATTGCAGTACAATGCCCATTGAATGATTATGATGCACAAACTGTTTCGTTCTTTAGATTGTGTTTATGTTGTTAGTGTCGGTTTTTAGATACTGTAGATGACTATTTTTCTACGACAAAAATGTTTCACATTTTTTTGTCAGTTTTTTTTTTTGGGTGCACTAAAATGGATTAAATGCATTCCCAATGGGGGAAACTCCATCACCGCCCCCTTTGCAAAATGAGCCTAATGGTATTACCCCACTCTCGTTGTCAGCGGCTCCAACGTAAGTGATAGCGACTCACAGTGTAACATAAACCAGCATTCAAACATCCTGCCGTGCCGTTATGAGCATCGATTGGCAGTACATCGGTATCGGCCCCTGTGTAAACATCGGAAGTTTTGACTGCTAACTTCTTCATGCACTAAAGTTTCCAATACAATCGGTGTGGACTGGAGGTGGATTAAAAACATATCACGTGTATGACAGAAACAAATTAGTGATTAAAACATGGACGACAAAGACAACAATGAGTGGGAGGTGCGGGGCCACACTGAAAAGAATAATGTAGTTCAAGAGAAGGGTTTAAAAAACATGTTATGATATTCCATATATACAGTAGATTCTCAATATTGTCATTCGATTATGTCTTTTTTCTTTTTTTTTGTTGCTTAAAATGGTAATTTGATTCTTGTAACATTTTGACATTTTTAGGGAAAATTTTTAAAAATGTCAACTTGTAACATGTTTGATGAAAACACATGAATTATTTTTATTTTTAATGACTCAAAAAATATTTTGACTTTCACTCTGAGAACATGTTAAAAAAAAAAAAAAAACAACTACAAATTCCTGACTGTTATGACTTTCTATAGGAATAAAATCAGTGATTTTTCCCTAGCGTGTAATATGATTTCTTTTTAGTCATAAAAGCTTTTTTTTTTGGGTGGGGGATATTAAAGCTTTTTCTTGAAAAAACTTTGTCCCCCTCATGTTACTTCATTGTCATAACTTGCTTTTTTTGTTAATTTTTTATTCCAGTGTGGCCCAAATGCTGTTTTGTAAAAACACAAAATATAGTACTCTCATTCAACGCGCGCGCGCACACACACACACACACACACACACACACACACACACACACACACACACACACACACACACACACACACACACACACACACGCGCACGCACACATTTTATCTCTTCACAGAGAAGCTTGAAACATTGAGCTCACTTGCTACAAAGTCATTCCTTACTACTTTGGCTAGCAAATATATAGTAGTGATGATTCAACTAATGTAACACATTAAAAAAAAATTACAAAGCTTTTTTTTTTCTTTCTTTCTAAAGATACACTTTGTGCAATAAAAGACAAACTGCTTTTCTTGGCTAAAGCCATACATGGTATAAAATATAATAGTGGCTGTTTTTGAAGATATAAATAAGACTACTTTTGGGGAAAAAAAAAAAGCTAACAATACATGTGTGCGAGGCTTAGAGCAGGCTCAGGTCCAGGTAGTGTCCGGTAGGCTTGGTCATCAGGGCGGGGAGAGACACGACAGGAGGCTCGCCACCGCCTGCTTGGCCGAGCAGGCTGCTGCTCAGGACGGAGACCGGCTCCACGGCAGTCTGGACATTTGGAGCAAGATGGAGGAGGATGATCTCAGATTTGCAGCTTTTACACTGTCTAGTCAGCTCATCATGTTTCCAAATCCACAAAATATTACATTCTGTGACAATCTATCCATCCATTTTTCTGATCCGCTTTATCCTCACAAGTGTCGCGAGGGGTGCTGGAGCCTATCCCAGCTGTTTTTGGGCAGTGGGCAGGGGACACCCTGAACCGGTTGCCAGCCAATCACAGGGCACACAAAGACGAACAACCATCCGCGCTCACCCTCACACCGAGGGACAATTTAGATTGTTCAATTAGATTGTTCAATTAGCCTGCCACGCATATTCATTTCTACTGAATATATTTTTATTAACTAGATCTACGTTTATTTTGTCTGCTGCTGCTCTGTCATAGAAATTACAAATGGCTCCCTCCTGATGAGCCCTAGCCCCCCCCCAACCCCATCCCCGCCCCTCCTGCCACGAGCCATCAACTAATCCAAAAACACACGCCCACTCTTCAGGCTACGACAGGATAAACTCGTTTGCGAGCCTCCGGGCTAACACGGCGTAGTCTGACAACCCACGCCCTCGACACAGGGACATTTGGAGAGGGATGTTTGGACTCCGTTGAGGCAACGGTGGACACAAGTTGCTCCGTTTACCTGATAGCCCTGCACCGCGCTAATGAGGTCTTTGCTGTTGTAGGTCAGACCCGGCATTCTCAGGAAACCCCCAGGGGTGGAGAGGGCAGAAGGGGAGGGGAAGAAACCGACGGTCGTGGGCGAGCCAGGTGGGCTGCAGGGGAGAAAATAAAAAATATTGTTATCTATACGTGCGAAAGTGTGCGTTGATGAGCAAACAACTTAACAGCGGTGCTGCAATACCACAAACCGAGCTTTCTCAGTGGCAGACGGCTCAACATTTGGGCTCACCCCTGTCAAGCAGGTTCTGAAACCAAAAAGTTGAGTTGTTGAACTACCTTAGCCACTGAAGGTCACATCAGAACGTCCTCACTATGACAAGGTGGAGTGAGGACTTCAAGATTCAATGTTGCTTTTCGGGGGGGAATATTGGCTAGCCGAGGAAAACGGCCAGAGGTGTTTATTTACTTCACTGCAGGAAGTAGCGAGCATCGAATTAGGAGGAGGCATTCGTACAAATGCTTGCGTGGAGGATGTTGATCTCTGTTTTCCACAGTCAAAGCAGATGGACACAAATGTTTGATATGGATTCAAGAATAACGGCAATCAGTCTGCTGTCATTGAGAACTTCAGATATCTGAGAATGTTCACCGTTGAGAGCAATTTTTCCACTCTCGGATGACTCGGGTTCAGGGAATGGGTGAACGTGTTTGGCCCTGATTGCAGTGAATGCCCAATGAGATTTAAAAAAACCCAAAACAAAAAAAAAAATCACAATGCAGTGAGAAACGTAACCAAATGGGGTGAACACAACTAAACCTGACAGTGTGTAATAAGGTGGAGAAAAATTTGGAGGCGGTCCATCATGGGAATGGATGCATTTGTCTTCCCTGGCATCTCAAATGCAACTCTTCTAAAACTTGGCCACACATACCAGCACAGCTCATTTGAACGCTTCCAGCTCTATTTTTGTGATCAGCATAAATCCTGTGGAGCATTTTGCTTAAGTGTGCACAGAAGCAGGTTGGACCCAATGTTGGGAATTTTGCACACGAGTTCAGGCCAATGGATCTCCGACAGGGAGGACTGCACCGCTGTGGGGATGGTCACAGCAGACTTCAATCATGGTCCATTAAAGTGGCTCCTTTCATTCCCTTTGAATGCGGCGCTGAAAGTGCACTCGAGTCTCGGCGGAAGCACATCGGTGCCGTGAAGTGGGCGCTTGGAGGCGAACGATAATTTCTGTGCGCCCTCCATAGTTGCGAAGTGGTTGCCCTTCGCATTCAACGATAGGTAAAATTTCTCAGTTACGAAAAAGTCAATGACCCCTGGTTTGGATCGACTTTCTGCCACCAAATTGTCACTCTGTCAGGCATGTCTCCAAGGCACACTTCTGCGTTGGCCTGCCCAACTTGACAGGGAACCTTGCCGTAATACAAAACCTACCAGCATTTGTGCCAAGGCGCCGATGCGCCATCTACAAAAATAGAGTCCTTAATGTTGAATGTTTTTGTGAGAGTGGGACAGAGAGCAAGACAGTGTGCAAGAGATCGAGCGCACTGTGCCGTGTGTACGCGCAATAACATCTCTTTTGCGTGCTGTGGTACAAGACATGAATTATTCATTCATTCATTTTCTGATGCGCTTTATCCTCACGAGGGTCGCGGGGCTGGAGCCTATCCCAGCTGTCTTCGGCACCCTGAATCGGTTGCCAGCCAATCGCAGGGCACACAGAGACGAACAACCATCCGCGCTCACACTCACACCGAGGGACAATTTTAGAGTGTTCAATCAGCCTGTCATGCATGTTTTTGGAATGTGTGAGGAAACCTGAGTACCCGAAGAAAACCCACGCAGGCCCACGGAGAACATGAAAACTCCACACAGGGAGGCCGGAGCGGGGATTGAAACCAAGACCTCTGCACTGTGAGGTTGACGCGCTAACCACTGGACCACCGGGCCGCCCAGATACGAATTAGTGAATTAGAATTAATATTCATACTATCAAACATTAACTGGGTGGCAGTATGTGTCCTCCCCGGATATTGACACCGATTCTATGAAGACAGGCGGACAAGGGAGTTTCATTCGACTCTACCGCATCTACAAATGTGCTCCAAAGTTGCTCGCCGTCCACATTTCATCCGTAGAAAACTTTGAAAAATGTGACGGGCCGAATTGGAGCGCACATTTGAGCCTGTGGACTCAGCAGCCCTTGGACCGGACGCTGTCATAGACTGATCATCATATGAGGATACACAGCAAGCTCGTCAAAATGATGGCTGCTTACCTGGGATAGTAGGCTGTGTAGTTCATATATAGCTGCCCCGAGGATGGGTAGTAGGCATGTCCTGGGGGGAGGGCGCGAGGACCGAGCAGCACTTGACCGAGTGGAGGGTAGAGGGCGGTGGCGGCCTCAGTCGGCAGGACAGGTGGCGTCGGGGTGAAGGAGTACGATGGCGGAGATAAACCTGGAGCAGAGACAACAGAAACAAAAACGGCATCAATCCATTTGAAGTGTGCCAACACAAAGACGTGATTGTGCCGTGTGTTCGCGGTTTAGGAGAGGCGCTCATGCATGCTTGCAAACAATGACCACATTCACTTCACTGGACACACATGTGTTAAATGTAGACACAATGTGTACCGCATTGTTTGTAATGTCGCCACAACGTCGAGATGTTGGCTTTTTTTTTCTTGTTTAGACTCTTAATTGGTTCAAAAGTGAAGTGGGTGATCGTGGTTTGCAATTGTCAGCCTCCTTGGAATTAACTTTGGCTCTACGTCCCCAAATCAGGCAAAGTCTCAATGCTGGAACCTTAACCACACTGGCAAAGTGAATCGTAGATATACATCACGTTTCATTCCAATGACGAATGACTTCTGTAATTTCTTATTGATCCGAATCCTTTCCCCTCCCAAAATCGGTATTCGGCTTGGGGCATTTTATGTGGTTATATGGAACAGGAACTCACTATTTGGCATGTATTACCAGTCATAAAAGTTAAGACGTGTCCCAACATGACCTCAATTCTGTCTACGGTCTGCCTTGTGTTCCGTTCGCTCGTGTGAACATCAACGCATCGAGAATCAGTGTTTGGAAAAGTGCGAGTGAAAGGTTTTGAAACAAGCTCATTTCTGTCAGCTGTCATGTCTGCTGTTAAGCCCCGCCCACCTTTCCTGAATTAATGAGACGAGCACAAGAGGTGTGCCACTCCACTGCACAACCAAGACGAACTGGTAAGACTGGAGATTAAAGAAACAAGCCCTGAGTCACAGTTTACCCCTCCTAATTTTTTTTATGCAACCCTGAATAATCACTGATCGATGTAAAAAAAAAAGAAAAAAAAAAGTGAAAGGGAGTGTAACAAACAAGTGTCTGGTGTGAACGACAAAGTGAATTCAGATCAGAATGTGTAAGGTCCAAACTGAAAGAGAACATTTGGCATGCAGGCTAGTAAATTAATCGCACTAATTTCTTAAGAGGCACATCTGCAAACTGATCACACACACACACACACACACACACACACACACACACACACACACGCGCGCGCGCACACACGCACGCACGCTGGTTAGACCAGTATGTCCAGTCCACACTTCTAGATTGGAGAAAACCCAGCAACCCTGCCCCCCCCACGGCAGGAGCCCACCTACCCCTGCAGGCCCAAAGCACCCCCAGCTCCCAGCAGCACTTACGTCTGGACTTACATGGCGGGGGGCTGAGCCCTGTCCCACTCCTGTTCCGGTTGTGTGTGTGTGTGTGCGTGTGCGAGAGCGAGCCTCCCATCAGCACCAGGCCCATCTCCTCGGCGCTGCAGGGGAACACCTCCACATAGCGGCTGTTGGGCCCGTGCTGGCAGGACATCACGTGTTTGTGGAGCTGCTGGGAGGCCGAAAGCGCTCGCTCCGCCGACGTCATCTGGATAAAGCAGTCGCCTGATGGACGACCCTGAAAACACGCGCAGACATTATGAAACGACTCAGACTACAAACCATCCACTCCCCACACCCCACCTTGAACCCCTGCGGCTTCAACAGAGAGATTTGTGGATTTTCCGGTTTCCAGGATCGTCACCTTGGTGTCTAGTCTAGGCTTCTGTTTCATGCACCCAAATCATGTAAACTGTTCATGACTTTTTTTTTTCCAATGAGCTCCATTACACAGTGTTCACCGTTCATGTTTTTAAATCAAATCCTCACAAGTTGAAGCTTTCGGATCAGTATTCAGATCTGCTCTGATCAAGCGCACCCCCTCATCATGCTGAAAAAAAAAAAAAAATGAATGTGGAAAACAATGCGGTCCTCCAAGTATTTTCGCTTCGGTGTTATTCTGTGCAGTTTTAACTGTTTGTTTGTTTCTTCCAGTTGTGTTAATCATTTCAGTTTTAGAAGTACTTGTAAGTGTAAAACGTGCGGCTCATGTGTGAGCTTGCGAATGTCACATGACCAAAATCAGAAAACAGGTGAGCTGTAATTGGTCGTTACCTGAGCTCTGTGCAACTGCGATGAAATTTGCGGTCAACAGCAAATGGCGAAATGGCTCAACAGACTAAACGTTACAGTTCATTTGGTCAAACCAATCATGCATATGGAGGGACTCGGTGGTTGCCGTTGTTGCATGTACCTGCTGATTGAGGACCATATGCACGCCGTGCGGTCGGACGTCGTGGGTGAACTCGCCCAAGAAGGCGAGGATGTCCTCTATGCTCGCCGAATAGGGTAAGCCCCGCCGGTTTCCAGGATCGTCACCTTGGTGTCTAGTCTAGGCTTCTGTTTCATGCACCCAAATCATGTAAACTGTTCATGACTTTTTTTTTTCCAATGAGCTCCATTACACAGTGTTCACCGTTCATGTTTTTAAATCAAATCCTCACAAGTTGAAGCTTTCGGATCAGTATTCAGATCTGCTCTGATCAAGCGCACCCCCTCATCATGCTGGAAAAAAAAAATGAATGTGGAAAACAATGCGGTCCTCCAAGTATTTTCGCTTCGGTGTTATTCTGTGCAGTTTTAACTGTTTGTTTGTTTCTTCCAGTTGTGTTAATCATTTCAGTTTTAGAAGTACTTGTAAGTGTAAAACGTGCGGCTCATGTGTGAGCTTGCGAATGTCACATGACCAAAATCAGAAAACAGGTGAGCTGTAATTGGTCGTTACCTGAGCTCTGTGCAACTGCGATGAAATTTGCGGTCAACAGCAAGTGGCGATATGCCCCCCGTGGCGATATGCCCCCCCCCCCCCACCCCGATAAAAACGGGTGGATTTTGCTGCTTATTTCATATTCCACAAAAGCAAAATTGATCAGAATGCCTTGTATGTATTATTGGGGAAGCATAGAACAATATGATTGGAAACAAATGATTTGACTTGACTTCCCCTTTAATATAGAGGGTGCAGAATAAATACTTGTGTGCTCAACAGACCGTTTTGGTTCCAGGCCCATCCGCAATAGGTGAAAATCCATGACATAGAGCAACTATAACAGTTTTTTTTTTTAAATATAGTTTTACCCCACTCCATGCACTTCTCCTATCCCACATGCACGGGCATCACAGTAAGTACATACACACATGAATCGCTTTATAAACACTAAATGTAACGAACGCGGCTTATATCGCGGACGATGCGCTCAACAGATGAAACGTTGCAGTTCATTTGTTCAAACCAATCATGCATATGGAGGGACTCGGTGGTTATTCGCTTCGGTGTTACTCTGTGCGGTTTTAAATGCTTGTTTGTTTCTTCCAGTTGTGTTCATCGTTTCAGTTTTAGAAGTACTTCTAAGTGAAAAACGTGCGGCTCATGTGTGAGCTTGCGAATGTCACATGACCAAAATCAGAAAACAGGTGAGCTGTAATTGGTCGTTACCTGAGCTCTGTGCAACTGCGATGAAATTTGCGGTCAACAGCAAATGGCGAAATGGCTCAACAGACTAAACGTTACAGTTCATTTGGTCAAACCAATCATGCATATGGAGGGACTCGGTGGTTGCCGTTGTTGCATGTACCTGCTGATTGAGGACCATATGCACGCCGTGCGGTCGGACGTCGTGGGTGAACTCGCCCAAGAAGGCGAGGATGTCCTCTATGCTCGCCGAATAGGGTAAGCCCCGCAGCCTCAGGCAGTCCCTCACGATGATGGGAGAGGGCAGGAGAGACACCGCGGGCAACACAGACAGCAAGGGGGCGGGGGCCACGGGGATCAGCGGGGCAGACGAGTAGCGGTTCAACACCTGCAACCCAAAATGGCACATTTATGACATTTGGCTTGGATTGGTCCGAAACTCCAAGAGCCTTCAACTGAGTGCAGACCTCCACCTATGATATGATCATGATATTTTCGTACAATACTGGTGGTCTCATAATGCAGCAACAATCTATTGCAATTCAAATTCACATTTTTTTCACGTTAACCCTTTCATGCACCAATAATGATAACCTGTAACCTGATAACATGATAGGCTGTCCACTGTAGTAACTGCTGTCATGAAAAGAGTTCATTTTCAAAATATTTGGCCCTATGACAGATAATAGCAGACATTATGATAGCAAGAGCCCCTTCACAGCAAGGTCGTGGTACAAATTCAAAGTGAAAAAGGAAAAAGGTTAAAAGAAACTGGGGCATGTATTTGTGAGTCCGTACATTGAATGGCCACTTCCGAGGTCAAGGAGAATGATTAGACACCCACATAGTGTCATTGTGTCACCTCCATTCTTACTCTCATGGTAAAAGAGAAAATAAGTCCCCCTAATCCCCTAATAAGGTTGAATGAAAAAAACAAAAACAAAAACAAAACAAAAAAAAACCACACTGTGACAAATACATAAATAAACAATAAAATGCTATAATGCTACATTCTGTTTCAGGTTGAAACATGTCGAATATTATCTAGATTAGCGACAAGCATTTGCATTCTGGAAATTCGCTAAAACAAGTACAAATATTTAATTGTCAAAAAAAAAAATCACAACTTTTTACTGTAGTCGGCTACTTTCTGGTCCATGGGTAATGACAATATTAGGACTCTAGTAATGGGACATTACCGTTTGAATTTTGGTGCAGCGGAGACTGTGATTCAAAGAACAAAACTGACTTCTGCTTTTGGATATATGGGTTTGATTCCAAATGCAGAATGTTGATCCATAATATCTGGCCTACGGGTTTCGTGGGAATTGTCCGAGTACTTTTTTTCCATCATAAGTGACACACAACAGTCCAACGAAAACCTTCAATATACGTTTCACAGGGTACGTACACGTGCAATGTCAGCCAGTTTTAATCAGATTGTTTGAATATTGCTGTCTAAGCAAGAAACTGGCTTGTCGCCAACAGGACCTTACTATGTTTGCGTTTCGAGAGGTGACCAATAAAACTGAACTCCGAGTTTATCATTCGAGGCAGAGAAGTCTCGTCGTTTTCGTCTGGTGGGCAGTAAAGACGCAAGACAGAATGAACAGAAGACAAAAGAGAACTTCCCTTCACTAACTGCGCAAAAGTAAATACACGGCCCAAGTTCCCGCCCATAATAGGTCCTGCTTAGTGCTTCTTAATCAGAGAGTGGGGGGGGAAAAAATGAGTCATGGAGTCATTCTGCAGTGTACACATGCAAATGGATCAATCTGCCCTTTCAGCAAAATGAAAAGACAATCGCATTGAACAGCGTTCTAAATTCCAAGTACCTGCTGGACCTCCGCTGCAGTGCTCTTGAATAACTCAATATATCTTCTTCCAAGGATCTCCTTGTGTTTCCTGAGCGCACACTGGGCATGTTCGTCGCAGGAGAACAGCACAAAGGCGTCACCGGTGGGTCGGCCGTCCGGGTAGCGCACAAATAGGATGCCGTCCCTCCCTCCGCTGACCGGACACGTGTCTTTGAGTCCATCCTCCGGCGAGAAGAAGGCGAGCACCTGCTCGTGCGTGGCCGTGAAAGGAAGACCTCGCATCCTCACTATGATCTGGTCCTCGCGGGACAGGAATACGGCTACTTCGTTGGACGTACCTGACACAAGGACACGTCACAGGTTTAGAAAACGTAGTTGGGCGGATACAGTCTCAATTGGATGCCATGATTGTTTTTGATCAAAGGAAAGAAAAGGTCCCCTGTAATGTCCAGCCTGCTTTTGGCACCATTTCAGAACACGTTGAGATCGCGCAGAATTCTGTAGGCTGCATCTTGTCGAAGCATTAATGGCCCTGTTGAGTCTAAACTAATTTGCCGTCGAAAGAAAGAGAACGTGTCAATTATGGGAAGTCACACATCATCCATCATGCCTAGTCAACGAAGGAAGGGCGGGGGCGCGGGGCCATCCAAATGAGGCAGATTGACATTCAATCATGCCAAACGTTTTTGAACGGGACATATCTGTCAACAACAACAACAAGAAAATCTATTTTATGATTACATATGATTGTAATTTTCCCTGATGTATGTCTGTGAAACTTCCATCAACAACGACAATTGTTTTGGTTTTTTTTTTTAATTTGGAAATGTAAATTACGATGACAGCCAACTTGTCATTACGGATACATAGATGGGTTCTGCATTGAAAACAATGACTTCCATCTTAGGGCGGCCCGGTGGTTGACTGGTTAGCGCGTCAGCCTCAAAGTGCAGAGGTGCAGGGTTCGATTCTGGCTACGGCCTTCCTGTGTGGAGTTTGCATGTTCTCCCAGTGCCACGTGGGTTTTCTCCGGGTACTCCGCTTTCCTCCCACATTGCAAAAAACATGCATGGTAGGTTAATGGAACACTCTAAATTGTCCCGAGGTGTGAGTGTGAGCGCGGATGGTTGTTCGTCTATGTGTGCCCTGCGATTGGCTGGTAACCAGTTCAGGGTGTCTCCCACCTACTGCCCGAAGACGGCTGCGATAGGCTCCAGCATGCCCCGCAAGCCTTGTGAGGATAAGCGGATCAGAAAATGTATAGAAAGATGGACTTCCATCATATCATGAAATAGGCTGTCAGCCTCACCTCCTGCTATTTTCAGGAAGTCTTCTCCAGTTGCCTTGTAAACCTGCAATGAAAAATTAGTTCATGAAAAAATGACCCCATGAGCGGTAGGCGAAGTCCTTGGTTTGCTTTCGGTACGCGAGTCAAGCGGCGTCTGACAGGCTACCTCGATGTATCTGTTGCCCATATGATGTTTGTGTCTTTGCAGCGCCAGGTCTCGATGTTCTTCGCTGACAAAACGAACGAGGGCCTCGCCGTTCCTTCTCCCCTGAGCATTAAGGCACAGTGCAGCCCCTCCTCTGTGCGACACCAAGCAATATCCGATCAGACGTGTTTTCGCACGTGAGTTCGGGTTTCCTCTGCATTGAAAGCAACGCACTCACTTGGCAATATTTAGTCCGCTGAAGAAGCGGGCGATGTCCTGGTCTGACGACTGCCATGGCAACCCTCTGGCTCTGATTACTGTGCTGTCACTGACTTTCTCCGTTTTACTGCTGCAAACAAACATTCAAGGTGAAGTGCTTGTGCTTCATGAGTGACTTGAAGGAGACTTAAAAAGGAGTAGCAGTCTGGAGTAAACATTACTTACCACGTACCCGTCTCAAACTTCTCATTAACTCTTTCCGGGTTAGAGAAGGTGTGACCTGCAATTAACGAGCGCCAAAAATGAAATCAAGTACAGTATAATTCATTGTTTAATGTACAGTCGTGGCTATTTAAAGTTGTGTGGCAGTTAACCTCTCGTTCATTGTCAATCAAAACAGAGCCTTATTATCTTTGTCAGGGCAGAATATTCATTCGTTGCATTGTGGATTTCTTGAGCTCGTGCATGACCGCGTATTGGAAAAAAAAAGCGCTTCATTTACGAGCCGAAAGTAACCATTAGCCAAACGTAACATTCAAACTGTTGCGATGGTTATTTTGCATCAATTACTCTGCCTTGCAAATGAAAAACTAAAACGAGTCATTTGTGTGACGTCGCTGTGCACCCAAGTACTCGGCTCTTCATTCAAATCATCAACACAGCAAGCTACATCAGTGTCATAGAACCTTTCAACTTTTGTTGAGTTAGATGCAATGGCGTGCGGTACTCACAAAATGGCTCAGAAAGCAGGCTAAGTACGATTTGGGCCATCAGCTGGACCTTCTGAACTGCTACTTGTGGAGGCATTGTGGCTAAAGGATCCAATGTACCCAGGGAGCTGCACATAGCAGGCGCTTCTACTGGTATGTTTAAAGCTGAACACGACGTCGGTCAAGGAAAGTGAAAATGACATTTGTTGTGAGAACGGAAGAAAATAAAGAAACTGGCAGGGTTAGAAACAAGAGGCCGAGGTCGTAAATTGTTTCCTGTTCCAGTGAGTGTGGAGTAAGCTTGGCCTTGTCGGTTAAACACACACACACACACACACACACACACACACACACACACACACACACACACACACACACACACACACTTTAAACGAGTTCTCAACAAGGTGCTGGTCATTTACATTTCAAACAGTGAATTCCTGACTGAAACAACCCATGTCTCAGTTGTGTCGCGTGTGCGCTCGTCATAAGCAGTGGACAAAGAACAACACAAGTTCAAGGGTTTTTGGCGCATGCCGCACACGTAAAGGATACACTCCGCCATGGCGTATACGTCCAAAGCACCGAGGTCAGAGGGGAAGTGCGTCTTGAACTCTTTACGAAGGTCAAAGAAGGAGTAAAAACAGTCTGGGATCAGGATGCTCTGGAGTGGTAAAACATGAGTTGACAAACATGAGCACAGGCTCCTTTTTTTTTTTTTATAACTTGCTCGTGTAAGACATTAGAGTTTGTGGTATCCTCTCGGGATTGTATTACAGAAGACTAGATTTTAGTTCTTCTCAATGACATTCAGGGCATGGCATCGACTAGTCGCTCATAACTTGTGGTTTGAGGGTTAGGGTTCAAATGTCTTCTGTTTCTGAATGGGCAGCTTTTCCAAGTGAGGGAGAACCAGTAAATATCTAAACGTCCACTCTCAGAGTCGAAGGAGAAATTATTCCACGACACATGAAGTCCGTGACTATTCGCAAACATCGTATATTCCCACCATGCAGAACTCATTCTGAACGGGGCCGGAACACGGACAGGTTTCTCAATTGATGCTCTTATGCTCTTATGTGCATGTTCTGCATCAATTTGGTGTATAAGCGGTCCTTTGTGACAGTGGCGTTTTCCGGGTACACAGGACGGAATTTTGGACCCCCACCCCGAAAAAATGGTACGCGAATTGATTTTCTATTGGCATCACGAAACATAAATCCTTTCAGTTTGCATGTTTGTAGTTGTCAAGGGTTTTCCTAATGAACTAAGTGAGAGGTTATCAAGGTCAAGGAAGTACAAAATTTTCATTGTTCAAAGATCTCTGCATATGGGGGAGGAACGAATGATAGGTCGTTGTTGGTAGTGAGTGGCTCCAAGTGTCAAGGCCTCTTAGGTATTGTGGCGACACCGAGTCAGAAAAGAAGTCAGGGCACTTTGAGCTATTGGAAGAAGAGGCTATTTCTTTGTGTAACAGAAACAACGTGTGAAACTTGTGGATCACCACACAGAACACCACCCACAACCAAATCACAAAAAAAGAAAAAAAAAATTTACAGCACAACGGAGCAAAAACAAGTACCGGTAAGCATAACATACATACATACAACTACTTTTACTACGGGAAAATACAAAAATGTCTAAATATTACGATTGTCACAAAAGCACTGCAAATATGTACAAATATGATGCAAGGCATGCTGGGAAGGAGGGGGTGGTGCACCAAAGAGAGGTCACCCACAGGACGCCATCCAGGCTATAGGACCACCACTGGTCAGGTAATGTAGATTATTACACAGCATTCCACCATCCTACATTTTTTTTCATCTACGGTAATAATGTACTGGGAAAAAAAACAAACTATGACATAATCAGTGACTAGTCGACATCAGGTGGATGACATTTATTGGCATTTAAAAAAATAATAATAAAAATTTATCATGCAACTCAGGCAGTTTCCGGGCTTGTGTTGTAGTGTTTTAAGATGTGGGAAAATGTTGGCGGTGACACTTTGTGCTCAAATGTGGTATGCGCATGGGTGTGTTGCAGTCATCAGCTCAACATAAGTACACCTCAGATGAGTAACTTCAACCAGGAACACCGCACTGACATAACAATGCTTTGAGCGTCCGCGCTGCAAAAAAAGGTTCCGGCAGAAAGGAGTGAGCGAGTGAACATCCGCCCTGGCCATGGGGCGTTCACCTACCACCCAGCCCGCTCACCTTGCTGGCGGCCTCGGGGTGAATCACTTGACGGATGTGGAGCTGCCCGTCGGTACATAAACACACTGACGTGCCTGCACCTGCGCTGTTCACTTCATTCGTCAGCTGGAGATGGAACTGCAGAGGGTTTCAAAACAGAAATTAAATCTGGCATGAAAAAAAAAAAAAAAAAGAAAAAATCCGTCAAGTCTGACACTTCAGCCTTAATCAGCAGCTCGTTCACCTTGCCCAGCTTCACAAAAACAAAAGGAATATTTTTCTCAGAGTGGTATGAGAAAATGATCTGATTTTAGGTTTAACCAAATGACTGCCCTCTCATATTTAGGTCCATACCAGCGAGAGGTGACACACAATTGTGAGAACGCTTTGTTGAGTATAGAGTAATAGAAGCTATGACTGTACATAAATAAATAAATAAATCAACTCAAAATTTCACGGCAACAAACTTTGATGAAATGGTAACTTTGACAATTCAACTAAATAGTTGTGAAAATTCGCTTTCTCATATTTCACAACAAAAAAAATAATTATTCCTTGTATTGTCCCCAAATATAAAGATATAAGTAAAAACAACTCGTAAATTGCTTGGAGCAAACAACTTGCTTGCTCTGTTGTGCTGACAATGTTGCCATAAACATCAATAATTATATTTTAAAGTCGTTCCAATTTAAATGACTGAATTTGCCCAATGAAATACAAGATGTGCTTTTTGCAGTGTGGACTTCGGGTGATTCCAGCAATCGTAAATATTAATAATATAGAAGTGCAATCTTACATGGAACATATAATCTGTGTGTAACTGACAAAATAGTTGAACACTTTGAAACTTTAAACGTGTATTTGTAAAGGGGAGAAAGTCAGACTTGACTAAAATGGCTGCGTTGATGTTAAGTAGTTACGTCTGTGTCGATACTCATAGTCTTGCAGTTCAGGGTAATCCACAAGGGTTGAATCGTTGAATAGAATATCACACAGGCACGGTAAACTGTATAATCTCACTAATAAGTCAGTGTAATCATTAGTTTTTAACGTCATAATAGGGTCATCCCTTTAAGAGGAAAACATGTCAGACCTGATTGTAAATTGACATGGAATGTGACAAAAGTTAGCGTGTCAAGTGTGTTGTCAATTTAAAACGTGAATTGAATACTTTATATCGGATTTAAAATGGAAAAAAAACGCAGTACATACGATTAGATGGTTTTATCAGTTACAATAAACACCACTTTTAGAACATAAGAGAAATGCAAGTGTACAGTATTTGCATGAAAAAATTGGCATCTCAAGTTCAAGCCTTACAACTAACACGTGGTTGTTGGACGACAATTTAACATGAAACTATTAGAACCCAGTTGAAAAGTTGACCCATTTACAATCATGATCCTTGTTTGCGAATGCAAAGGAGGATTCCATAAAGTTTCATTGTTTACCTTTTTGTTGTTGACATCCACCTGCTGCCACACCAGCCTCGCTAGCTCCTTCTCGTCAGAGCCAAGCAGCTCCCCGCCGGCGCCAGATGTGGCGGCGCACAGCACCACCAGGTAATCTACCTGCGCCGTCATTCGAGGACCGTCGAAAGTAAAAAAATATTTCAGTCCTCCACACGTAGGCCAAAGGGGAACGAACACCTTTGACACCTGAGGGCGAAAGCTGAGCTCCGTGGATCCTCGGGATTTCGTCGGCGAGGTTCAGTTCGACGTTTTTTTTTTGTTTTTGTTTTTTTTTTTTACCTGAAGGATCCCGAAGCCACCATCGCGTAGCAATGGCCGAATATCGTTTTTGTAGTGAAGCGACTACCTGTGGTGGTCACGTGATTTACCTACCTGCCGCCTTCTTCCCGCCTCCAGTGACGTGGCAGACGATCATACGGAATGTTTTTTTTTTTAAATGGGACAGATTGGCAAGGTCACCCGAAGTGTTAAAAACAAACAAACAAACAAACAAACAAAAGTAAATGTGGATGTAAATATGTATAATAGGTCATTTTAACAATACAATGTTTTTATTGTTTCCAATTTAATCGAAATTAAATAGCCACGTATTCAAAAACAAAATAGTTTCGATTTCTTAGAATATTTTACTAATATTTGTATATTGTATTTAAAAAAAATGAGCCTGTTTATTTTTATTTCATTGCTTTTGTTTGTTTATTTCATTATTTAAAAGAATACATGTGTTACTAATGCATGTTACTAATATTTTGCATTTCATGTAAAGCTGTTTGTGTCGTTGTCGTATGATGTGCTTTATTTCATTATTATAATTGTATTTTTAAAGTTCACCTTTTAAAACTAAAATAGTAATTCATGATGCGTACAAAAACAAAATACATTTCATCATACAGTAATTAATCTGTATGTATCAGTATTTTAAAAATGCGTTTTTATATTCTTACTATTTTTGCAGTTTGTAGATTTTAATGATAAATACATAATTTATGCTCCCTTTGTCGTCATATATATCATGACCAATTATGGCTTCTGAATGATTTTCTTTCTTAGTGACTTTCTCCATTGTGAGACAAATAAAGGTTTTCTTCTTAAACAAGTAATATTTTTAATTGTATAAATCAATAATAAATATAGTCACCAAATGTTTGAAAAAAACGACAAAAATAAATGCAATAAATATCAGAGGACTTTTGATTATGTAAGTAGGATACTGCTCAGTGGGGCACATCAATAAAATAGAGTGGACCATATGTGGCCTGTGTTCCATACATTGACTACACTATTCTTCAGTACATTTTATGAACAATACTGATTTTGAATAGATAATATAAAGGCTGACTGTATGATTAATATAAAAATAAAGTTTTACTCTTTGTTACTTTTTGTTTATTATGAGACGATGCACTTGACGAGGTTCGAGAAACACATTGATCTAAATTGTAACTTCTGTTTGGACTGTCCTGAAACTGTAGTTAATCTATTTTGCCATTGTCCATCTGCAAAGTCTTTCTGTCGTTATGTTCTGTTTACGAATGCAAAGTGTGATTCTTTATGTTCTTGTCATTTGCATTTGTTAAATAAAAGTGTGAAAAAAATGGACGCATTGACGGTTGTGCTCCGGAAGGACTAGTCACGAAGGCGGATGTTGACTCCGCGGACAGTGGTAACCCAAAGCAATGGCGGGGGATTCTTCAACTGAGCTTCTTTTTCTGGATACGTTTAAACACCAAAGCGCCGAGGTAACAAAACTGCATATTCTATTTTAGACGAAGAGTTGTGTGCATTCAATACGTGTATTCTTCTTTTCTATAATTCTTGGACAGTCAGGCGCAAGTTCGCTGGCTAGCAGGCTAATGTTAGCATCGTCTGCACGGGAAACAATATTTATCAAATTGAATCAGATTGACTCACGTAATATTTGTTGTTTACTTATTTTATATACGGTTTCTCTTTGTATGGTATTTGCTCATGGTTCGAGATTCTCTCTGTAGAATATTGGCTTTGTTTAGAAGCTATTCGCGCTGGCCTGTTTGTTGTGCATGGTTGGATGTACTTGTTCACATTTACTATCCTGTTTCTTTGTCTGTTCACACGCAGTTTACCAATGTGGATGTGGTACGTTTCCCCTGTGTGGTGCTGATCACAGAAGTCCGTGTCATTCCTCCCGGAATCAAAGCACATAGCAACTTACCTGAGAGCAGAGCATGCGGGTGAGACCTGTGAATACCCAGTCATCACCAACACATCCATGCTAAATCAGCCGAATCTTTTTTAAATCTATTCGCAACCTCGTCGCTTATGGCTTCTCTCTTTACATGTTATCTCCTCTGTTTACATGTTAACTCCTTCCGTCAGAGATTCTGTCAAGGAGAACAATAGAAGAGTGAGGGACAAATAAATTGACAATAAAGTTGTACTTGACTTGATTTGAAATGTATTTTTGGAGAAATGAGATGTTGGCTCTTCAATGTCATCATTTCATACAGACGTCAATTCAAAATGACACCACTGTATTTGTCACAAATCATTTTCATGGCTGAATTATTACTATCACAACACATATCCACTTTATGCTTTATGAGGGGACGCACCAGTATCGATTCGATGCCATAACTGTATGTCTGTACTGTACTGTATTCACACTTATGCACTGATCCTATGACACTGACACCACTTCACAATCCTCACACTCGCACACGCACGCACACCCACGTGTGTTTGTGTATGTGTGTGTGTGTTTGTGTTTATTAGAAGCTAAAGAACATATCTTAAACGGGGGTGCTAATATTCTATTCATGAAGGTCAGTGTATGTGTGCATCCACTTTATCACACTTGTTTATTTTTACTTCTTGAAAATATATATATTTTTTCAATCGGGCTGGTTGTTTATAGGCCACAGTAATGGAAAGTGTTTTAAAATCATTTATCGGGGTATAATTTGAGCAGGGGTGTGTAGACTTTCTCTGTCCACTTACAAACTCAGGTTATGTCACTGCTGCAGGAATGGAACTATGTTGTTAACAGAAGACCCCTTTTATACTTTCCTCTTCGAAATGCTTTTCCAGTTTATCTTCCTTAGCGGCTAACAACTGTTCTTATGTCCCCCACTCCTGCGTTGATGTGATACTTGTCATGTGATTTAAGGAGACATGAAAGATAATCATGTATTTCATCGACTGTGTGTTTGGCTTTCTAGTGAGACATCCCCTCATGCTTTCCAGCTGGAGCTTTTCTTCAATAATGTACCCAAACCCAACAGCCCAACTTTCAACAGACTCGGCAGGTGAGGATACCGCACCCCATCCCCTACACCTTGTTCTCTCTTTATCCTGATGAGGCTCTCCACTTTATAGTCTGTACTTCCTAGGTGGATCCCCAAAGTGTTTTAAGATGCACATGTCTGTCTGACCTGTCGAACCAGTCACAGTAGCATCCAAACCCAGTTCTCAGAGGCCAGTGGGGTGTGTGTGCATGTGTGTGCATGTACCCACCCATATTCAAGCTTCTTTGTTCCTGTTTTAGCTAACTGGTCTCACCAGAAACTCAACCCCGCCCTTGTTGAAATTGAGAAAGATGCAATACTCATCAGAGGTCTCAGGATGAGCACTAAAATGAGCTGTTTTTATTTCCATGCTTATAATAGGACTGTAAATGGAGTAGCACCAGAGTTTGACTGAATCTCAATTAGAGTTTTCAAGTGTAGATATGACACATCTCAGTTATTTATTATCTTTGCCAGGGATGTTTGGAGTGGGTATTTCATAAAATTGGCTGTTTTTGTCGCCAACACCCCCATTTTTATTTATTTTAAAGACATGGGTGGATCTGTGACAGGTGATCTTTTCTTTCTGCTTGAGCTCCCACTTCTACTGAGCTCTGATAGCCCATAAGTGATTATGAAAAAAAAAAAAACCCACAAGAGTGCAGCAACACGACAAACAAGTGGGCGCCAAAGTAACATTAAACTTTGAAGTCAAATAGCGAGCCCTCAAACTATCATCTTCCGTAGGCCGCAACTTTGAGACCACTTCTTCGCTACTGAAAATAAAACAAAAAGCATTTTGATATATAAACCTAAGCTACTACTATTCTGTCTGGCAATATATTTAGTACATCTGGGTTATTTTGTAGCTCTTTGACCATTAAATGTTCAGAAAATAAAACTGATCTTTTTCACCCAATCCCGGATCATCTGAAAATCATGTGATTGACCCTGATTTCCGATCACGTGATCAGATCGGGATATCCCTATGTGATGCATTTTTCAGCCATATCACCCTGCTCTACTTATTACCGAGGAAATGTAGTATGAGCAACACATTTTCAGACCATAACCAAACAGTTCTGTATTAGTATGTGGGCATTCATATTAATATGTCACTTTCAAAATACATCTTGTTCATAAGATTCAATCAGCTGAATAGTTTGGTATGAGCCAGCGTAGTCTGCAGCACCGCATAATAGTGTATGGACAAATTATTGTATTCATCCTGTCTTGCTTTCTGTCTTCAGTCTGGAATATGACGAGAACAAGTCGATTGTCTTCAGACCCAGTGGAAAGGTAAGCAGAAACAGAATATCAACATGCTCAAGTTAAAACAGCAGTTTTTTTCTCATTTCACAAATAATAATTTGTGTGTAACCTATAATCTGTAATTCAGTTGCACTAAATTAGTGTTTAATTAAAAGATGATTATTTTTCTCCAGCTTTCTAGCTGACTTCTGAAGGTTTTGGGTCAAAAGTCTTATGTTTTTAGAATCGTTCATAGATCCTTCCACCTTAATGTGAAAAGCATCCAGGCTTGGATAAATTGTGTCTTCCAAAAAAGCCAAATCCAAGCTGTTAAACATGCCGTCTTTATGTGTGTGAAGATCAACACAGATGGCCTGGTGCTGCGTGGCTGGTATACCAGCCTGACCTTGGCTGTGTACGGCACAGCGGAGCGTTCGCATGAGCAAGGCTCACCCCCTCCGCCTCCTCCCCCACCGCCTCAGCAGCCGTGCGGGCCCAAACGACTTGTTAAACAAGGTGGGCTACATTCAAAAGAAAATCCAGTGGACATTGTTTGAGTAGATTCTGCCTTACAGTGCTTCATCTTTAACTATGTACTGTAGAGTGGGAAAAAGATGACCAATACAATGGCAGCCCACCACGACCAGCACCCCGAGGGCCTCGCACTCCACCTGGACCCCCACCCCCTGATGATGACGATGAAGAGCAAGTCCAGGCACCAGGATCAAGCAGTAAGTACCACAATTTACTTTCCCACTTATATTAGTGTTTCCCTCACTTTCTTTTGGTTCATCATTTGCCGATTTTTCTCAGCAATCGGTT